GAGAGAGAGAGAGGAGAGAGAGAGAGAGAGAGAGAGAGAGAGACAGAGAGAGAGAGAGACTGAAGGGAAGGGATAAGGACGGGAGGAGAGAAAATAGACAGAAAGAGAAAACCAGGAAGGGTAAAATGAGAAAGAGGGTAATGGGTAAATCAGTGAGAGGGAGCGAGAGAGAAAATATTTACCAGAGTTCTTCACCAGATATCTTCAAAGTTCAAATTTTGTCGATTTCAACGATTTTAAACACCCGACAGCTAACTCTGGAACCAATAGAGCTACAGCTACAGCGAGCTTTCGAATTTTTTTTCTGAGGTAAGGTCACTTGACGTTACCTGGTGACCTGACCTTGAATGACTGGGATCTGAAATTTTCATAACATGTGCGAAAAAGATGCCGAAACGGGTATATCTATAACAGCGGCGCTACGCGTCGCCGTTTTTGAGATATTCGCGAAAAACCTAGGGGGGCGTATAAACGCTCCCCCCCCAGCACGGCGCCGATCAAACGGCCCCTGAGACCTCAGGATGGTGCCCTTGAGACCTCGGGATGGTGCCCCTGAGACCTTGGGATGGTGCCCTGAGACTTCGGGATGGTGCCCTCTCACACCCGGGGAGAGTGCTCCTTCAGACCTCGGATTTCGGAAAAGTGCCCCTGGAAATTTGGAATGGTGCTCCCGGAGACCTCGGGATGGTGCCCCCAGACCTCGCAATGGTGCCGCCGGAGACCTCGGGATGGTGCCCTGGACCCTCGAGATGGTGCCCTCACCGACCTCGGGATGGTGCCCGCGGAGAACTCGGGATAGTACCCCCTGAGAACTCGAGATGGTGCCCCCGCGGACCTCGGGATGGAAATAGATGGACAATATTAAACTTGAAAAACCGAGGCGAGGGACAAAAATGGGCCTCCGGGAGGCTCCGAAAACGGTACCCTATTCCCATAGACCTGGATGGTGCCCCCTTAGGAGGCCTCTGGGTTAAAACTCCCGTCGGTGACCTCCGTGATGAATTAAAAAAAACAACTCCGTGATGGTGCCCCCCGCGAGGCCCAAGGGGGGGGGCATGGCCCCATGCCCCCCTCTGGATCCGCCACTGAAATGATCTGACCCAAGATCTGACCTAAAATCGACCAAAAGCCTTCCTTCATTGTCCGAAAACCGCTGACAGTTGATAGCTCAATGACACTAGAGCCGTGCATCAGGAGGCGTGAAAACACTCTCCTCATCTCGATCTATTACGAGAGGACCATGTCATGGCGTGAGAAAGGTGTTCTCAAAATAGATGACACTGTATGAATGAGTAAATAATTCGCGCCCCGTTGGGCTATTGGCGGACCCTACCACCTGATGGGGTGGTGCAGCCGTTTCGTCCTCCACCTGAGATCTCGAAAAGTTACCGGCCGATTTTGAAAATTCGCAGAACGTTTGATAGCCCCACCAGGGAACTACCTTGTTACCAGGTTTCGTTGACCTAGGTGCAACCCATGACGTCACAAGTCAGGTCAAAGGTTGCATTTTTTCACCGATTTAGTCTGAGGAATGCGTTACAGTCAGTTAACACATCAAATAAAAGGCATGTTATCGAAAACATCGATGGAGCGTGGTTGCCCAATACATATGTTGCCTAAAGAGGTCACTGATGGGTCAGGTCACAGAGGTCAGGTCACTAAGGGTCACAATATGAACCCAACTTTGCTAATTGCTAGGGTCGCGTAATACATGTTTTATGGTCAATTTTACATTTAAAATTCAATGGTGTGGGCTAGACGGCCATTGGGGCCGGTTTAGATTACGTTCTGGTGGCGGTCAGATCAAGGTCAGGTCAAAGAAGGTTAAATTTAAAAGGTGATATTTTGCATAAAAGGGGTATCTATTCCATGCAGCTCATCACGGTAAATCCAATGGTGGTCTTTGGCTTGCTCTGTGTGTTCTGTAACGGCTAAAAACTGAGTTTGAAAATTTTACGTAATACATTTTGAGTAGTTTTTTTTTGCCATAACTTTGCTAAAAATGGAGCTATCGAGTCTATTTTTGGCACATTTAGAGCAGATAGTTCTATAACATATATTCCAGTTTTAATTTTGAAAGTATTGGTATTTTCGAGGTGTTATACTTCTATAGTTTTTATGGTCGAAATCAATTTTTGTTTAGAAAACAGAGTTAGCAGTATTGTAGCGCTGTTTACTTTACATCTTTTTAATCTGGAATATTTTTTGTTAGCTTCAAACCCGTAACCGTGACAGCTCTTCCCGCTAAACCTTTTATTGGGTCGAAAATGACAGAACATGTCATCACTCTGACGTCATTTGTGACTGACCATTCATGAGCTCTGGAAAAATTTGGTCACAAGGTGTAAAAATGATGCCCGGAGGGGTCTTGAAAGTTTGGTGGTGACCTTTTTTTTAAAAGAAATTTTGTCCGAATGGATGAATGCGTGGCTATGGGCCTGGGTGCCCCGCTAAGCAGTGCTTGTTGCGAATGACACCACGGTATACTTACGCTATACTTAAGGAGATATCGACTGAAAAGGAGAGAGGGCGCTGCTTCGCCCCCCCCCCCCCCCCAACGGGGCTCGAGGCTTTCAGTTGTTGCACTCACATATACTCTTGCTTATATTACAACGTAGTGGAATTACAAGTGGCAATATAAGCTTCCTGCCAGCGCCGGACCAGAGTTTTAACATGTAGGCTGAATTTTAACATTTAACCTTTAAATTTTTACCGTTGAGCTTTTTAGAAGTTGTAGGTATGAACTGTTCAGCTCCTTTTTTGGTCCATCACAGCGGGCTTGTATGTCATTTGTCAATCAAAATGGAATTAAAAACTTTTTATTGGGTCTGGTTATCTCGCCAACTTCTCAACTGAATCGTTTAGTAGCTTTTGCTTGGGCACTGCCCACGTTGTCTGTCAAACTTTTCGTGTCATAGACACTGTCGATGACACGAGAAGAGGCTGCTGACATCGTTTGTCGCGGTTAGATAATAGTTAATACCAATCCACGTCCCAGTGGCTGCTCGATCGCACTTTCCCTGGCCCACCTCTCCCACCAGGCTAGGCTTTGCCCGGCACAGCCGTCGCCTCAGTGCCTCGGGCGGTGACCCGTTCAAAGGGGCTCACAATTCGTTTGGTGCCGTGGCTCTCAAACCAACACAGAACAGTGAAACGCACAGGCTCACCTTCCATATAAGGCGAACGGCTGATTCTGGCGCCGGGGCTTCATTCATACTAAGGCGCCCAATCACAGCGCCGCATTTCAGTTAGTGTCGGGCGCAAAAGCTACTATGCTCCGCCCCTCCATCACGTGACCCTGCCCTCACGTGGCCTCAGTCACGTGGTGTTTCCACATCTTGGCGCATGGCGGCGCTAGTCTCGCAAGGGCGGTGGTAGCTTGCTCCCCCGCCGTCCGGGGGTGATGGGTAGCAAGTGCTGGTGACTGTACATTGTTCATTTCGCAAGAAGCTTCAAGATGCATTTCATCCTAATTGCAAAAGATATAAACGCAATATTATAGGTGTAATAAACATCAAGGATATTTATCATTCATTCTCAAACAAGCCATATTTTAGGCAAGTGGCATTTGCATTTCTTTCCAAAAGGTATTTGGAATTCCAATGAGGGTGGGTACTGCGCTATGACAAAATGCCACTATCGTTTTCATAAACACGAAAAATGATCATCAGACACAAAACGGCTGCATTTTATGGAATACTATCAACAGCACCACAAGCCCAAAAACACTATGAATTACAACAGATCGTTCGTAGGATTCTCGGAATACGATTTTCCTAATCTAGAAACTCTTGAGAGGACGGTGCAGGATAAGTGGCGGGGGAGCAAGCTTTAGTTGGGTATACTTTGCAACTCAAATGCACTTAATTCAGTGCATCGCATTAGGAATAGACAAGCACCGAACCGAAAAATAATCTGTCGGAACACGCGACCGAGGGTATGCACAAACAGGGGAGATATTCTTAGCAATTACGTAGGTGGTGTTTTTTTTTCCACCATTTAAAGTCAGCAAATCCACCTAGGATGAACCGGGTGAACCCATCGACGATTGACCCCCTCGGTTATACAACACCTAATCTTTGCTGAATTGCAGTCATTTGTTGCCACAGATTCAGACGCTGGTAATTGCGAGACGACATAAATGACAGAAGTACACCTGTATCTACCACTGCGCACATCTAGTAAGGCAACCACGCAAGATTCCCTTTAATTCCCGCGCTCGTTCGGGTTCGATATTACACTCTAACGAAGTTTCGCGAGATGACATTTACACTTCGACTTACCAGGCAACACCTAGCCAACAAAAGACCTGCGCCTTGTCGAAATAGCCCCCGGTGACGCTGCGTCTCACCTTCTGGAGCAGACGGTGGTGGGTGTCTCTGTGTCATGTGAATCTCGTATCTCTCATGTGTCTTACCTTGCTGGAGCAGGCGGTGCACCGGTTGAAGGCCCTGGTGGCTGGCGTCAGCTGCTGGTGTTGCCCCAGGAAGCCCCGCACACTGTGTGGCACCGCTCCCAGAGGGCCGGCCGGCGCCTCGGCTACCTCAGCAGACACAGGGCAGACAGGGGCGCGCTCCCTGCAGACAGAGGTACAGAGGAGTCAGAGGACCGGCCGGGGCCTCGGCTACCTCAGCAGACACAGGGCAGACCGGGGCGCGCTCCCTGCAGGCAGACAGGGAAAGGGAAGTGAGGGGGCGGCCTGGGTCTGTTCTCTGCCTTCCTAGAGACCGGGGTCCGCTCACTGTAGACAGAGGTTGACAAACTGTTATTACACGGCATGGCGTCTCAGGCGACAGGCACCCAACATTAACGCACCCACACTCGCGAACTTGATGAGTTACATGTTCAACAAAATCGACATTCATTGGTAATGATCGAGCAAGAGACATTAAGTCATCAACGATTCATCAAAGCTCTCGACAGCGTTTTCCCACCACGCCGACTTCAAACACGGACTCAGAAAGACAGGCCGAATCGCTATTAACTGCTGATCCCCCAGTCAGGGTTCTGACTTCTGAGAGTCTGGCCGTGTTGTCGGCTAAACGGGAGAGTAAATAGCTGACCGGTGAGTCAGGGATTGGAGCCCCTCCCTCCGCGCTAGCGGCATCATCAACTGGTTGAGCCCCACAGAGATACACTGACAAACAGCAAACATGACGTTTTTAGCCAACCGGACTCCGGCATTACAGTGTGCCACGAATTTGTGCGGTATTTTCGGATGGTATCGGCGCCGCGGCCGAGCCGTCTGAGTGATAACGGCGGGTACTGGGGGCTGCGGTCCAGACACAACCCCCTCCGTGCTCCCGTAAAACCCGATCAATAAGCCGCACAGCCAATAAAATCCCATTGCATGGAGGTGAAATAATCGCTGTCTGCAAAAGTCGCGCGGCACAAAGGGCCACAAAATTGGACCTATTTATCTTCAGACGCAATGTTTTAATCCGGGTGAAAGTGATTGGTTGAGGCGAGTTTGGGGAGCCGCGAAAATAGCACGCAACAGACAGATGATGTATATTGTTTCGCTGTGGTGACACTAATCCAACTTCACAGGAGATCTGTTAATGATCGTTGCCAAATTTTAGGCGAGAAAAACGACAGTGTAAACGTCATTCAAGGTCAGTAACAACACATACCCAATGGCATTCCACGTGAGTTAAAAATACCAATGTCGCTTTCACGTGTGGGACTCGAAAGTCCACAAAACAAAAACATATGTGGACATGAACCTTCACTTCTTCATTCAACCGGCGTCACCCATAAGACATCAAAGGGCACGTAAGGGTAAGCTCATCGGTTTAAGCCACTTTTCTCATTTTTCTACCGAGGTGAAAGTGACAAGCTGTAAAGCATTTTAGCTCCCTGTTACCCGACTGGTGACGTTAGACCTTAGTACGACCTGTGAAGGGTGTGAGGTGACGTGAAGGAGTCTGATGTCACCCCTTCGACCGCTGCCATCACCGACCGCGCACGGCAACCGCTCTGTTTCTGCTCTCCGATTGAGCTATGCAATATCCCATACTTATAGTCCAGCTTATGTGCAGCTCCTACACTGGCGACCGAGCGGTCACGGTGAGGGGGTAGGGGAGAGCGGGGGAGAGCGGGGGTGGCATGGCTGGAGCGCCCGAGATGCCGGTCGACTGTCCGCCGGATGCCGTCAGGCGCTGGCCGCCGCTGGCCCAGTCTCGGGGGCGCGCTGGCACGCGACCCACAGCCGCCCCTCCACCCCTCCCCAGTGAACGGGGCGCGGGAGGAACGCGACAGCATGCCGCGCGGTTTTGACAGCCATAGCGCATACCTCGGCGTACAAAAACGGACCACAGTGCCGCTCCCCTGCCTTCCGAGCATTGCACTGAAAAAGCGATGACAACAAGGCTGTTATTTAAAAGTGTCGAATTAAGTTGTCATCCATCCTACTCGTCAGTGTTGGGTGGAAACTTCAACGTCTTTGTTATGATTAAGCTTGCATGACCAAAAAGTCGCTGAATTCCGAACAGGGACTTTACACAATGCATGGAAGCGGCTGCAGGAGGATTAGGTTCCTGTTTTGTGCTGGAATTCGGAAATCTTCCCTCAACATGTTTTACATTTGCGTCATTACATGCTGGCATAACCTGCTTTCGCTAAATAAAAACACGTGGCGGCATAACGGACTCCAGGGGAGGCCGGGGGGGGGGGGGGACACTGAGCCGCGGCAAGGTGTGACTCCGACACGCAAACACGGCCTGCGTGACCCTCCCGGATGTCCGGCTCCTGTCAGCAGTAGGTATCATATGTACTGTGAATTCGTCAGCTCGCTTAACTCAGAATAACAGGCGTTGACCGTAACCGTAACCGATATGAACAAAAAATATCCACACATTACATGAAATAGCTTTGGACAGAACAGATCACTACTGCGTAGTAGCACTCGGGCTTACCGTTTGAACTCCTCAACTAAGAAAACAGCGGGGATTTGCGGATTTCGGGTGCCTGATACCAGCTCAGCCCTGCCGGGCCCCGTCGGCCGCTGCACCGATTAAGCTTCTTTACGCTGCCAAGATCGCTATCCCGAGCATGTGAGGCCTTTGCAGACCCATCGCGGCGATATGACTTAAGCTTCGTCTTAACAACTTGAAATTCCGTTGCGCGAAAGACTTCAGACCGTTGCATGCCAGACGCCGCGCAGGGACGAAAAATAATCCCACTACTGTCTAACTGCCAACATTTTAACTCCGCATCCGAAAAAACTCCAAACCGAAGGCATTCATTCACCTAAATCCGGCCCCACCCGTACCGTACGTGACACCGCAAACAAACAATCCCCGTGGAGCGCCTCTTCTGAACGCAATTCGGTGTCATTTTTGGTGCCGCGCGAGCATCTGTCATTGTTCTCTCTGGTGTATCCGGCAGCCGGCGGTGGTCAGCTCGCGTGCCGCGTGCTGCGGCCGCCGCCGGAAGGCTGGCTGGGCCGGACGGGTGCGGCGCGGGCCGCAGGTGTCCGCGGCCGCCGGGTAGGCTCAGCTCGACCGCGGCCAGCCCCGCACGGGACGAACCCAAACTACCACCACCAGTCAGCAGGCGGGATGAAAAGTGAGGATTTCTGATGTCCGTCACGGGACATGCAACAAATGTGTTCGGCGAAAACACGAAATTCTACTGAAGTTCCGAGGATCTATGAATGCATACCGTACATCTGTAAGCGAATTCCTTCCATGTGTAGATATGTACAACTGCAAACAAAATATTTAAGGCCCGTCATCAAACTTTCCAGCTTCCCCTATCGTGCAGTATGTATGTCATCGGGTTTTACCACGGCCGCTCCAGCCGTGTCCATCGCATACCCATAGTCGAGTGCAAGGCACGAGCTCTTATCGCGTCAGGGGCAAGGCGACAGCCCATGCAACATAATTTCATCATTCGCCGCTTCACCTAGGTGCGGCCTATCCAGAATCCAACACCGTGTGAAGTCCATAAGGTCGACAATCAGTGTCTCTCCGACAGAATACTGACCGTTGTGGGTGCTGGAGGAGGGCGGCAGCCAGCTCCACGGCTAGTCCCGCAGCGATCATACTGACCCCCGGTCGGGTCACGGTGCACTGCTGGTCCAGCGTGCGGTCCTGAACCGACTGCCGGGAACAGAGGGGGAGGGGACACGGTCACATAACGGAGGAACACGGTCACGGTGCACTGCTGGTCCAGTGTGCGGTCCTGAACCGACTGTCGGCAGAGAGTGGGAGGAAACGGTCACAGGGCGGGGAGAACACGGTCACAGTGCGGGACCCAGCGGCGTGCGGTCCTGAACCGACTGTCGACAGGGAGGGAGGGGACACGGTCACAGGACGGGGAGAACACGGTGTGCTATCGATGACATTCACTGAACAATTTAGGCATGAGAATTAATCCAAAACGCAGCGCAACCTACCTCCTCCAGGCTCCAGATCTGGACAGTGGAACGTCAAACTATTTTTAGCAGTGTACGCAAATTTCCAACAGTTACAGCACATTCATAGTGCATAGCAGAGTTTTAACTTACACCAGAAGCCTTCACCAAAAAACTGTCATTCCTTCGGGTAGCGCTTCGACCAAGCCTCCATCGTAAACGCATCCCAGCAAGGCATTCCATCCCCGCGCCCGCGGCCTTTGCCCCATCCCCCTTCACTTCCGTCTCAGGACAGGTCATCGACCTCAACATCCGCCCTGCCGGACAACACATTCGCCCGGAAGCTCATCTTATCCCGCGAGCTCGCCGCTATAACGGGCTATCTCTCCGGCCGGCCGGCCGGCCCGCCGGAACTCGCATAGTAAACACATTCCCCGCATCGTGGACGGCGCATTGCACATTCAGAGTTCGGCGCATGGCTGCATTATGCAGCAGGAGCGGTCGGCTGGGTTCCTCGTGAGGTGTGTTCGTCGAGGGGCCGCCGTGTGGGGTAGGTGCCCCCCCCCCCCCCCCCCCCAATAATGTGGTAGCAGCTCAGCAACTGGTCTCCGGCGGAGGCGGTCATTGGAATGTGTCCGTCGGATGGAGACGGGTCGCCACCACATCTGATTGGCCATTCATTCGGCAGACGGTGATTTAAACGTGAGGGACGGCGACTCTTCCGGTGACGAGCGGCTGCAGACAGCGAGGGTGAGGATAATTCCAAGGTCGGACTGTGTTGCTGCACAGCAGGGATGTGACGGAAACGGGTTTGAGCAAGGAGTATATGGCGATAAAATTAATAAGCTAGTGTGGAATATGTGTAAAGAAGAAAGAAAATCGATAAATTTTTGACAAACAAGGTTTTGATTACTTGAAAAGTTATCTAACCAAATCATCTACACCTTTTTAGGCGCAATTTCAAAAAGTTAAAGACCATATTCAAAAAGTTAAAGTTCGATTTCAAAAAGCTTAACACCAATTTCAAAGAGCTTAAGTCCAATTTCAAAAAACTTAAATTCATTTTCAAATAAGTGAAGTCCAATTTCAAAAAGATAAAATGCAATTTCAAACGAGCTGTTAAGTGATGCAATAAGAGATAATATAATCTTTTGATGCCATAGCAAACATGATGAGATTTTAGATTCACTCGATGAAAGATGTAGGATAACCATTGGTATCATAATTACTTTGTCGTTTATCCTTGCCGGCACAGGAGGGGGGGGAGGTTGATGCACCCCCCCCCCCTCTCCCTTAAGGTTTTTCGCAAATAACTCGCGTGACAAGCGGCCGATTGCGACGAACCTTTCAGTACCCTCGCATTGATCAATTTTACACCTACCCTGAAAATTTCATGACCCTGACCCAAATGACCTTTGACCTGTGACCTACTTTCCGAGACCATGTTTGGCCGGAATCACGATTCGGCGTATGTCGGCTCGCATTAGCCGCGCGTTTGCAACATTTCCATGGTTTCAAACGTTCAAACATGTGATTTGATGTTGCTCCCAAGCATTAGGGTAGATGCCAAGGTCACCTGAAGGTCAGGTCAGGTCATTGACCTTTGGTGACCTCGGTTCACTTTTTTTTTTAGTTGTACATGCTTCTAGGCTAGTTGTTTTTAGCTGAATTCGAATTTAGCAACCATTTGAACATTTACGAAGTAGTATTGGTGCCTTCGTAACATACTCCTGCTTTTGTGAGTCATTTAGAAAAGTTCACCTGCAAGCTGTATTTCCAGCGTTTACATGGAAATGACGGTCTAAAAACTAAATGTTACTAAATGTAATAGTTCATAGCATATCATTTGAAATAGCATTTTATCTTTTTGAAATTGGACTTCACTTATTTGAAAATGGACTTCACTTATTTGAAATTGGTCTTAAGGCTTTTGAAATTGGTGTTAGGCTTTTTGAAATTGAGCTTCAACTTTTTGAGTTTGGCCTTCAACTTTTTGAAATTGCGCCTAAAAAGGTGTAGAATTTCGACTCAACACAGAATAAAGCAGAGAACAATGTTGCCCAAACGGCTTGCTATGGACTATGCGTTCCTGTTGTAGCAAAGACTTCTCCTTTGTTTATATTTTACTTTGCTTTACTCATTCCAGCAGAATTTCCGGACATAGCTCGGATTCTACGCGTCATGACATCCCTGCTATGCCCAGCTGACTGTAACAGGCACGAATTACATTAAGAATTCAGCGCGAATTTCTGGAACCACACATATTTCCAGCAGGCCTCACCTTTCTCGATGACTCACCAACCACACTGGCACGACCTACTAACCCAGCCAACTCACCGCAACTCACACACGACTCGCCAATCCCAGAACTCAGCTCACTCAACTCACGACCCAATGAGCGTTAGCAGTACGATCCGTCTCCCCCTATCGTACTCACGTTTCCCGGCGCCACCACATCGTTACAGAAGTAGCAGCCCAGCTCGGAGCCGTCAATCATCTGGCGCGGGTCACAGCTGACTGCGGAGTCAGGAGACGGCAGGCCCGGTAGACGACTGCCGTGCCGCATCACCAGGTAAGAGTCGTACCCCAGCGCCGCCGTGATTACGACCTGGCGAAGGAGGGGCGGTCAAGGAGACACCATACCATCACAGACTGTGATCTCAGCTCGTCAGAACAAATGTCATCTCATCGCAAGTCATTTGGCCAGGCTGAGACTAAGCAACACACTAATCGATCCTCCAGAGTGCTGCACGTCCCTAACGTAGACCCAGCTTCCACCTTTCTATACGAAACTCTACTCAGTGGGCCACGCCCCTTCACACCTCCTTTTCCTTTCCCCTCCCCTCCTCGCCAGGCCATATGACCCCCCCCCCCCCCCCAGTCCACCTCAGCGAACCCCAGCGTCCAGTCCCGGGCCTGGCTCGAACTCCATCTCCCCTCCTTCCCTACCTTCTGGTGCGCCGCGCCCATCACGGTGGGCAGCCAGCGGCTCTCCCTGCTGTCCATCAGCAGGAACACCAGGTCGTGGTCGGTAACCAACTGCCTCAGCCGGGACACGGTGGTGGTGACCTGGTCCAGCAGCGCGGCGCTCACAGGGTGGCCCGGCATCGGCACGCTCAGCTGGACACCCTCAGAGATCTGGGGAAACACATCGGCACACTCAGCTGGACACCCTCGGAGATCTGGGGAAACACATCGGCACGCTCAGCTGGACACCCGCGGAGATCTGGGGAAACACATCGGCACACTCAGCTGGACGCCCTCGGAGATCTGGGGAAACACATCGGCACACTCAGCTGGACACACTCGGAGACCTGGGGAAACACATCGGCACACTCAGCTGGACGCCCTCAGAGATCTGGGGAAGTAGGGAGGCATTGGAATGCTGAGACGGACACCCTCAGACATTTGGGGACATCGGCAGATATTTAGTCACTCAGTGGCCTGCGACTATTACTAGACATTTATCAACTTCCTTGACATGAGAGATGACCAACACCTCTTTCATTCATTCATTCAAATGACATCCATGCACAACACCAAACGCTCGCTCAAAGAGCGGAGCAAGTACGCTGAGCTTAGACATCATTCCAGGACTCGACAGCGCCATTCCGAGCAGTCACTCCACACTAGGCAGGCCCTGGTTAGGGACAGATCTTTACTCACCACTCCGGGGAATATATCTTTGAGCCGCTCGGCAGCGGCCACCGCTTTGGGTCGCCTCTGTACCGAGTCTTGGAACGTGAAGAGGCTCTGCCGCACCGGGTTAGAGTAAGACACTGTACCGTTATCCACCAGAGTGATGTGGCGCACGCCCCAGCCCTGAAATACGCAGAAAGGAGAGGGTTGTGGTTAGATACAAATACACTCAAGACTATTGAACAAGAGAGGTGAGGGGTACTTCTCTGGGCGTGAGGCGGGGGAACACCATTCAAGGCTTACGCTGCATTATAATCGTCAGATGTAAAGTATGTACACTGATACACGAGAGCAAAGTGCCGGTCGTAAAAATATAAATATTAAATATTATCTATGATGTTCAGGTGGAAGGCAGAACGTTACCACCGTCATACATGCATGCTAGGGCATGGCATATCAACACTCCAAATATTTAGTTCACGTCGTATCTCATGCAATTATGCATACCGCATCCCGGGAAAATTCAAGGGGATTACACCAGATTATCCCAGTCAACGGTGCCAACCTATGTCCCATACAGGTGGCCCACTCACATCCCCAGTCAGAATCTTACGAAACTGACGCAGGCCGTTACTAAACGTCAACGATAAGCAAACGGTTAGACACGGCCAACGGTATATGCCAAACTGGTGTCGGAATCAGGCGAGAGAATCAGTTGAACCAGCCAGAGCTGAGATGAGAAAATGACGACACAAGCCGAGCGGCTGACGAAAATCCAGCGTGAGGTTCCGATCGAGTACGAGTGTTAGATCAGAGAACTCGCCGCTCCAGCGACTGAGTCACGAATTAAAATCACGAGGTGAACGGTTATCTGGTGTTAACGGGACTTAACAAGGCGTGATCAGGCGCTTGGCGACATCCTGTATAGGACAATAGCGAACAGTGTAGCGGCTCCATCCTAACCGGGGCTGGCGGGTGTTACGTGATAAGGCGCGACCGATTTACGTCAGCCACAAAGTAACGGAACAATAAAAGTCCGTAATACTTCGGGACGTCATGAGCACTGCTCGGTAAGGTTGTTTGTCATAGCTATGTTTTTAAAGTAAGCTGTTAAGCTGTAACTTATCTGACTACGTGAGTATATGCATACATCTACAAGTGAATCCCAACAATTCTCTAGTTGTCTGGAATGGTGATCCTTGGACGAATTGAAAATATCCGCCTGATAGGCTGATAAAAATACAGAATATGCAAAACACGAAAATCTGTACAGCGAATACTTTCTAGACATACTTATGCAAATCACACATCCGCAGGACAGGATATGTGAATAAATGACGCTAAATACCGCACTTCCTCTCCACTCCATGTTATCCTCAACCCTACAACTGAGTTTACAACTTCCTTCTTCCAGCTCTCCATTAAATCCTGGCCGGAGCTCCCACAAAATGCCTCACCCCTCCTCACTTTACACCAACCCCTCATGTAATCCCGCGCATCTAAAGCCCAAACTTCCCGGAACGGAAACAGGGACCGCTACTCCTTGGACCACCCGTTCACGAGGAGCGCATGGAACTCCCGGCCCGCGCGGCGCTCATCTAAGCCGATCAGAAGCTCGGTTTCCGGCCGGACGCGGCCCAGTACCGGGGCGCTCCAAACCGGGACTGTCCTACACGGGCCGCGCCTGAATAAAACATCTCCGGCGGCCGACCGCCGGCTGACAGCATCATTACACGGGCTGCGGTCAGCGGGCTGACGGCTGCCCGGTAATGCCATGCGCGGCCCAGCGGACCGATATGGGCAGCGACCGCAGATACACGGCCGGCCTCCGGCCCCACCTCCCTCCTTCCGCCGGAACTCCCTGTGTGGGCGCGTGCCGACGGGGGGGGTACCATCCTTCCACCCCTACACTGCAGTTCCATTACTTCCCAATACAGAATGACAAACGACGCCTCAATTCTAAACAGGCAGATCCAATAAAGCTTCAGCCTATGAATATATTTTCCTCTACGCTGCCGTCACTGCCATTACAAGCTTTAAGGCGGGAGGTCAAACGGAAGCTCGGCTCTGTATTCGGGCACCCCCGGCGGTGCCGGGGGCGGGGGAGGCCGGTCAGTGGCCACCCTGCCCCGCTCGTAACGGGGGCACCCCGCCGGGAGAGTGGCGCCCTGCACGGCCCCGTAATGCAGCCGCGCTCCTATAAACCGTGCACCAGGTGACCGATCAATTAAGGCGCCCCGCTCATTCATTGATTATGTAGATGAGCTGTACAACGTCGCACCAAAGACAAAGCCCCCGAGGCGCACGTCTAATGCACGCGTTTGCTTAAGTAGACATTCGTAATAAATTTGTGCACTCATCAAAGTCCAAACAAACAAGGTTCCATTAGATGTAGTAAGTTAATGGCACTTGTTCGTTCTGGCATAGAGTAGCAGCATGTAATTTTCTTGTTGTATGTTTTCTACTGATGAAAACTAACAGTACAGTGGAATGGCCATCAAGTAATAATACAAACAACTAATTGTATGTTGTAGCGGTTTATACTTTAGAGATCAGAGAGTTTTACTTGGTAACGAATTCCGAAACGCAATGCAAACCAACATATCATTCTTGGTGAATTAAACATTGAGAAGGCCCTGCCTTAATTTTTAGAGGACAAGGATTTATGGCTCATAACGTCCATTTCATGCTAAATTGATACCGCATGTTTGAGTTTTCAATTCGCATGAATAACGTGGATATATGAAATTTTAATTCAATTCTAAGCTCCATGCCAGACAAAATAGGCAAAAGAAAAAATCTTACTAAATTAATGCCGAAGAGCTGAAAAGCTCTAAAAAAACGTTCCTAAATCCTACCGTAATCTGCCGCGTTTGTATGAAATGTTTTAATAGCCCAATAGGCAGCGGGGAGGTATTATATGTGAAATACTTCTAGCAATGCAACCGCACGTGCTTACCGATATACGTTGAGTGAGCGCATGCGAAGTTTACCTACCACTCATGTCTAAATGGGAGTTACAAGCTTATTATCAGCCAAGCTGCCGCAAATCATAAAGAAACTGTCAAGTCCAGGTGCAGGCCCCCACTACTTTCAGGAACGATTTAGCCCACATGTCAGACCACATTACACAAATTCCTCTCGTGACCACCAACATTCTAAGGGATAAAGTTTACAGGCCACATATAAATGTTGTTTTACAGTAACTAGAGAAGAATTTCCAGCAGAGCATTCCAATCCTACTATAAGGATTATCAAGCACACAATGGAATTGCCAGCCTAACAGCTCACAAAGGCATATCTCAGGTCAAACATGAAACGCAACTTTGAACGATCACTTATGTTAGGATACCTGTTTTTCATAACATACAATATTCACCAACCGTTGCAAGCCAAATAGTTATTAGCAACAAACTTTGGAAAGTAAATCTAGACCACACGAAAGTCAACTCATTTCGGTCACGATAAAACACAAGAAGTACAACTGTGTGCTTTTCCAGAAGATGTAGCAGCACATGCAGCCGCCTGGCCGCCTGCCAAACAGTATTCTTCTCAGCCGACTAAAAGCAGCTCTAGCCACCAACCACACCAGTTCTTAGCCCCTCCCCTCACCCGTTACTTATCAGCAGCGTCCTGGCCACGTTACAGCCCAGCGTGCCGTCTCCGATCAGAAGACAGCGGGCGTTACACACCCCTCACTCCCTCCCCCCCCCCCCACCCCCAACCCTCTGGCCACCTACCAGCAGCGTCCTGGCCACGTTACAGCCCAGCGTGCCGGCCCCCAGCAGCAGGCAGCGGGCGTTCGTCATTTTGTCCAGCTGCAGGTCGGGCACCAGCCGCCAGCGCATCAGCTTCAGGTTCAGGTCCACCGAAGACGCCGCCAGACTGGGGAGGACGGGCGGTGGTGGTCAGAACTGTACGGATGGTGCCTGGTGGTGACAAGACGGCAAGCCGGGTAAAATGTGATCATGGACGAGCGCCTAGCGTGCTCGTTATTATAAGTTAACAATAAGCCAGTAGGACATACATTAAATGTGTTGACATAGAAAACCTTAAAACTAAGTGAAAAACATAACTCGTCGCAGAGTAACCCATATGGTCCTAACAATATACATCACGCGACAAGGGAGAGCTCCGATCCGACGGAACCTAGCTAATTTCATACGGTTCCATCCCGACTATTCGGTCCTCTCACTCTGACGACACTTATAGCATGCCTAGCCGATACAGAGCCCAGCCCGCCAGTGTCTCACGCCTTCGGGTCCATGGTGGAGCTCAGGTTGACCATCCGCGGCCCCATCTTGCCCCGCTCGTTCCTCTCCCAGCCGGTGACGGCCGGCGCGGCGTCCGCAGCGCCATCTTCTGTCGCAAGCCGTAACTTCAGTATCAGACTATGGCCGACAGAGCGCACGCCGCCGCGAGTCATGTCCCGCCAGCACAGGACCTCCACGGTCGGCCGGTCTCGGCCGCTGGAACAAACGGTAACCGGACAAAAAGTCAAAAGGAATAAAGTAAAAAGACAAATAGTCAAAAGACAAAAAGTCAAATGCAAAAAGTCAAACGGGATAAAAGTCAAAAAGATAAAAGTCAAAACGGATAAAAATCAAAAGACAAAAAGTCAAAAGCAAAAAGTCAAAATGTACAAAAGTCAAAAACGCGAAAAGTCAAATGACAAAAAGTCACAAATGCAAAAAGTCAAAAATGAAAAAGTCAAAAGGATAAAAGTCAAAACGGAAAAAAGTCAAAAGACAAAAAGTCAAAAATGCAAAAAGTCAAAAGGATAAGAGTCAAAACGGAAAAAAGTCAAAAGACAAAAAGTCAAAACGAGTAAAAGTCAAAAGACAACAAAGTCAAAACGGAATAAAGTCAAAAGACAAAAAGTCAAAAGCAAAAAGTCAAAACGGGTAAAAGTCAAAAGACAAAAAGTCAAAAAATGAAAAAAGTATAAAATAGAAAAGTTGAAGTCAAAGTCTGAAATAAAAAGTCAAAAGGATAAAAGTCGAAGCATCGATCTTTTCATCTTTTGAAAAATATTATACAGCGCAACGTACCCTACCCACTGAAGTTGTAAGGAACATGTGAGTACGCGAGGGATTCTGACAGGTACCGGGGTCCGCAGCAACGGGGCAGGGACGCTGGCTGCGGTGGTGGGGCCCACGCTCACATAATACGCGTTGAGCGCTTCCGGCGTGCACGCTGGCGCAGCAGCAGTGGCACTCTTCCCCGCCCCGATCACCGGCCGCAGCACTGTCCACATCCTCGCCGGTCCTGCCTCACGCAGCTGGTCAGCATAGTATGCCGCGTGGTCACGTCTGATGGCCGCTCGACACTGCCGGTTCACCACCGTATACTCGGCGCGCGGGCCGAGCAGTGCGCGCCGCCGCGCCAGCAGCGCTCGCGTGGCGTCCGTGGTGCGCGGAGCACCGGGCGGCGGCAGCCCCTCCCCCATGGGAGAGGGTGAAAAGCAGTGCCTCCTCTAAGCAGTTTTGACTGGGGGGCCCGATCACGGGTAATGACTAAGGTAACCCCTACCAAAAACGTCTAAGACTAAAAAATGACTAAGGTACCCCTCAGTGACCAGTTTGGAGGATGACTGCGGGGGCTGCAGCTCCCGCAGTTAACATGTTAGAGGAGAGGAGGCCCTGGTGAAAAGCCAAAACCTCAAAATAAAAAAATACCATGTGATTAACGCTTAAATGACGTCAATGGACTTAAAGTAAAAAATACAAAAGACGAGATAATTTCAAAATTTTGAGTTGCAATTTTTGTCCCCTCAACTTTCAACCTACCCCATCAACTTTTCAAACGTTCCCGGGTCACCACTGCCCCATCGTGCAATTCCAGTGCTATGGCAAAGTTTTATCTGAAAGTTTAAACGTGCCCGATAGACTGGACGCGGTCCCCTCCGTCCACTCACGCTCTCTGGTCTCTGTACGGTCATCGCTGACTGGTCCAGCATCCAACGCGCTGGGTTTATAGAAATTTGGTTAAAAGAAATGAACATATTTTAATGAACGAATCCATTAAGTAATAAAATGAAAATGATTCACAGGTTATTATTACATGTGGGAGCACTGGCGCTGGAACTTTCTCAATGTTGGAGGGGCTCGAGGCAGTTTGAACTCATTTCTTTCCATGCAACGCCATAGGGTTAATTACGAGCGAGCGAGCGCAGCGAGCGAGCTAGTTCTTTCGTATTTAACCCGCGCGGGGCTGGGGTCTCCAGCCGAACGCGCGGGGCTGGGGGGGGGGGTAAATTTTACCCCCCTGTTATCTCCCGAACTAACGGTCCGATTTGGAAAATTCAAACGCCAATCGAAAGCTCTCATCACGAACTACTAAAAACATGTACTTAATTTAAAGTTTGAGGTCAAGGTCAAGGTCAGGTCAAGGGTACAAATTGCAAGTTTCTACAGTATCGGCCTTGCACCGTAGTTGCCGAAGAATGGAGTCATGGACTGAGACTGATCGCCCAAAACGTGTTCTTAGGCTACCAAGACAATATTCGTTGCATACAATATCATTCAGAGGTCAAGGTCAAGGTCAGGTCAGGTCAGGTCAGGTCACCAAAAAACAAAATATAGAAAAGGGCATGTGCGACACATGTTTTATGGGTCATTTTACTCATAGAATTCAATAGGCACACTCAATAAGTGATATGGACCACCTCTGGATGAATTTCAGGTCGAGGTCAGGGCAAGGTCAGGTCAAGTGAGGTCAAATTTTGAAGTTGGTTGTTAAGGCCTAAAAAGGTGTCTATCTGATATAGTTTTTCACGGCGAATCGAATGGTGCTATTTTTGTTTCCGTACGAAGTCTAGAACTTCCAGAAAAGTCATTTTTAAAAAAAAATGTGTCGTGACGTCATAAAATTTTGAATAACTCCCACATTTTTGAACCGATTCTTCTAAAATTTGGTATGTAGGTGCACATAGACCACTTCTCTGACATATATTCCGGTTTTTTCGATAGACTCAAAATTTTGGATTTTATAATGATTTTCCCAAAAAAGTCAGTTTTTTGAAAAAATTTAGGCCAAAATCCAAAATTTTCAAAAAACCGAGATAGCCATTTGATAGACAAAGTAAAATTACGTATAAACTTTTTGTTACGTCTTGATTTCTTTAAAAATGAAGATGTTAGCGGCGTTTGAACTTTTGCCGTTTTTGAGGCGAAAATGACGAACATGACGTCACTAAAACGTCAATTTCTCAAAAATTTTCCGACGGATTTCGCTCAAATTTTCAGGGAACGTGTCAAATTGATGTAAGAAAAGGTACTGAAAGTTTGGCGGCGCTGCGCGCCGCCGTTGTTGAGATATCGCAAAAATTCGCGAGGGGGGGGGGTAATATTTACCCCCCCCCCAGCCCCGCGCGGGTTAAGGCAAAAATCTGAGTATGCGCGACCCGGCCCGACACGACCCGACCCGACACGACCCCATCACGCTCTTCAAACCCTTATAACTCAAGAACCGCATGCCGCATCGACAAGCGGTCTTCTTTGCTGAATACCACTTGGATGTAAAAGTTGTATGGCATGCACAGTGCACACCATGTTGTCTGAGTGTCGATCTTGGCACGTGGCGCGTGCTAAACTTGGGGTACTTTGCACACACCCGAAAACTATTATCCTCAATAACCGCACAACGGCTGGACCGATTATTTGACTTTTTCCATTTGATTTTTATCATTTTGACTTTTTTGCCGTTTTTTTCACTTTTTGTCTTTTGACTTTTTGCATTTTTGACTTTTGGACGTTTTGACTTTTTGCCATTTGACTTTTTGACTTTTCGCGTTTTTTGGCTTTTTGCCATTTGGCTTTTTGCTTTTGACTTTTTGCGTTTTTGACTTTTCGCCATTTTGACTTTTTGCCATTTGACTTTTTGCTTTTGACTTTTTGCGTTTTTGACTTTTTGCCATTTTGACTTTTCGCCATTTGACTTTTTGCTTTTGACTTTTTACGTTTTTGACTTTTCGCCATTTTGACTTTTTGCCATTTGACTTTTTGAATTTTTGACTTTTGGACGTTTTGACTTTTTGCCATTTGACTTTTTGTCTTTTGACTTTTATCCGTTTTGACTTTTATCCATTTGACTTTTTTCCATTTGACTTTTATCCATTTTGACTTTTTGCATTTGACTTTTTGTCTTTTGACATTTTGTCTTTTGACTTTTTGTCCTGGAATCGGAACAAACCGGAGCTGTCACGGAAAAGGGCGCTGCATTTCGTTGCCCCATTTCTATACTATCTGGCGATGGGTTCTAGCAAGCATACGTAAATACACCGTTCAGTGGGGGTGGGCATTACAGAACGTGGTCGAATACAAGGAAAAGTACAATGAATCGTCTAGATGAAAGTTCACGGATAACTTTCTTATTAATCTAGCATGCAATTAACGAGAGAAAAGGTGGCGTAAAGAGAGGCGAAGCATCCACCACCGGACCTCAGACCATGCCTCCTTCCCCTCCGTCCGCCGTCTCACCTCACGTGTCTCAGACTCTCACCAGTGGTGCCAGTATATGTAGAGTGAACCGTGCCTCACCAGTGGTGCCAGTAGAAAGTGAACCGTGTCTCACCAGTGGTGCCAGGTTAGAGTAAACAGTGTCTCACCAGTGGTGCCAGTAGAGAGCGAGCAGGTTGCGCAGCGGCCAGCCGGGGTGTCGCCGGTCAGCGCTGGGGTCGCAGAAGGCCAGCAGCCAGCGGCCGGCCGGCGCGCTGGTCAGACGGGCCAGCGGCAGCACGGCCAGCGCCGGCTCCAGCTGCACCAGGAAAGCGGCGGCGGGAGGGGATCCCGGCGGCAGCAGCGACAACAGGCGCTCCGTCTGCGCGGGGGGGATAATGATTTCTGTTTTCAGGCATACAGAGTTTTAGTGACGCAAAATTTGGACAACAAGATGCTGCAAATAAATCGCAACAACGCGCATTGCACAATGCACACAGGAAGCCTACTGAGTACACAGGAAAGGACAGAAGCACAAGGATTCATGCATTTACAATCATAAAGCTATGAATTCAACGACTCTGTTATATCCTAATATCTGCAAACCCACCTGCTCTGCCGTGAACGCTTCGGACAGCGACTGAGGCGGTTCCATCGTCATTATGGACGAGGGACATTTGAGCGCAGGAAACCCAAACCAGTACAGGAAGTCGTACCGCTTCAGGTCCTGTGAAGAAGAAATACACTCGGTAACTTTAAGATCCCGATGGAGACAAAGTGGCACACAAGATTCAAAAACTGACAAGGAACTGAACTGACCAATATCACGATATATCAGGCAGTCCCATCTCCCCAGTCCCCGCCCTCTCCCCACACCGAGCACGCACCATTCGTACGTACCTATCTCACTCACACGCACACATCAATATCTATCAGCTCAGCACGTACGGCGAATGTGATCAGGAGCCATCGGTTGAGCAGCTCGGGCCGGGAGAGCGCCGAGCCATCGGTGATGCTGCTCCACACCTCCTCCCCACGCTGCCGCAGCAGCTCGGCCTTGTCGCACTCCTTGAACGTCTCGCGAGTGTTGCGGTTGATGAGCACCCCGGGACAGCTGAGGGCCTCTGGAGGCCGGCTGGCGGTGGGAGGGCAAGCAGCGGTGATATGTCGGAGTCGAGTCAGGGGAAATTACCATGTCAGGAGTATGTCATGTCAGAAGCTGCATAGCCAAAGGGTGGAAACTGCAGCAATTTTTTGGAAAGGCTTTGTGAAAACATTGAGTTCTACCTTAAAAGCGAGAACACAAGAGCTGAATGTCTGCATGAATGCCAGAAGCTGTTTGAAATATTTTGTTGTCTTTATTTTGCTGAAAATCATTATTAACAAGAATCCAGGTTTTGAGGCACGTGAAATTCCATTAAGACCTCACAGCAAATGTCTAACAATCAACTATCCCAGTGGTAGTTCAAAGGCCACAATTCATACTCACCTATCAAAAGATGTGAAGTCAACATTGAATAGTGCAGGCAGACCTTGGACTGCATTATTGTAATAGTTTCCATTGATGTTGATTGGTTCTTCATTCAAATGCAGCACATCAAGTTTAAGCTGACTTAGCTTATGCCAAAAGCCAGTCTCAACAGCAGAGGAGAATGGCAAAAATTGCAGTGGCTCCTCCATTTTACTCATTTTAATGCAAAATTAATGCAGCCACACTCCACAGTTACTGAAAGTGAAACTAAAATCAAGCACAAGTAATTTACAGTGGGCAGCTCTCCAACCAAATATACGTCAGCCATATAGGAGGAGCTAGAAGTGCCTTTTCAATCAAGTCTGCAAGTTATTAAGATTTATTTACCAATACATCTAAATGTCCTCAGCTGCATTAAGGCTGAAACTTTTCCCACATTCATGAAATCACAGGGCTGTTCACACTTCACAGGCCCTGTGTGCCATCTGTGTGCAGTCGGACTGTACACAGCCTCCAAGCTTGCCCACTACGTCCCTGTCTGCCTTCCGTCAGCGCACACAGTGAAGTGACTGCTGTGGCCGGTCAGGACCGACCTACAGTCCAACCCACTCAGCAGTTTGCGGTGCCTGTGAACACCCCTCACATGTGTAATCATGTGACGTGAGGCTATTCAAATACATCAGGTTGCAATAGCATCAATTGCACACAAAGAGGTGCAGGAAATTAGTGTGAGCATGACTTAATGTATATGAATATGCTTTCGTATGTGATTTCCAGACTGTGAAAATAGTCTGTTTCAGCCTTGACATGGCAGATTTGTCAAATCTTTGTCACTGAGAATTAGGTGAGAATTCATTCAAACTTTTTAGGTAATCCTTCCCCATTGATTCAAATTAACATTTTGACATGCGAGATTGAAATTGGGTAAAATTAATGGGGCAGGCATTGACAAATTGAATTTCATGCTTTTACCGCTTTTACCCTGCATTTTAAATGACACAATAAGACAAAAGATGAGAACGATAAATACCCAGTTACCAATAGTATATAGGGCCTTGTTACCAATCGTCTCGCGCGGTTGCGTCCCAACAAAATACTATTCACTCAACCTCTTCTCTCACATTACCACATTACCACCGTTACCAACAAACAACAAACTTTACCGTCAACAAACCTCAAAATGGCTGTTCTATAGATGCGGCTCAAGACCGCTTTAGGTAATAATGGATAAAAGATTTGGGAAGTTCGAGGTATCAAGAAAGACAAACTATTGAAAACAGCCCTCACTGTTTGAGTTAAAATATTTTAAAATCGTTCACTCGCAATTCATGCTTTACCTTTTTACTTCATTCAGGGATGCTGAGACCAGCGCTAACATTATTTGTTCGCAAAGAGAATACAATTTATCGGAGCAAACGCGTCATATTTGTGTTTTTTCATCTACCTAGGAGCGGTTCATACGAACGCTTCAACGGTTTTCAACGAAAGCTCGCTTCATAAGAGCCCGAATCATCGTCCCGAAATAGACTTCCAACTTGCTTCCAACCAAGTTTCTATAACCCATGGATGAGATTGCTGCCTAGTGCCTTGGATGAGATAATGCAGGCACTTGGCCAGCGTTACCGCTGGCGTCTCGCTGGTTTCCCCAGATTCTCACGAAAATTTCCCTTTTTTAAAAATCACTTCCCTAGATGCGGTTATTTTCATGGAATTTGATGTACTTTCCTCATTTTAACCATTCGTGTTATAGTCAGTAGCGGCGGAACACCTTCAATTAAGGGGGGAGGGGGGCACTGACGACTTTTGGTCCCATCTTTCCATGCAACGCCCATAGGGCTAATGATAAAATGCCAAAATCAAAGGGGGGCACGGTGCCCCGGTGCCTTCCCCGTTCCGCCGCTTATGGTTATAGTCGCTGCGCCCTAAAACAACAATTAACTACATTCGGCGGCGGCGGCGGAGGTGACAGAAGCACTGGTGAGATCAGCGACGGCTGCGACAACACTGGCGAAGGGAACTGCAGCGTCGGCTGCGGCAAGGATTCAGCGACAGCTTTGCGACCCGGTCCAGTGATGCCAGTCCGTCCATCTGCAGGGAGTCGCAGTGAGGAGCCTAGCAGAAACCCCCTAGATGACCCAGACCTGGCCTACTACCTGCTGCCCCTCCGCGAGTCTCCACCGCTTACGGATGCGGACTCGCCGACGACGCAGCAGCTCGCCGAGCAGCTGTTATGCCTCTCTCCCAGCTTGGCACAGGACACGCCCCGACCGCGCCGCGCCCCAATGCGCTGACCGCATATGCCGCGCTCCTCGCAGAGATGCGTGAGAGCATCCGCGACCACGGCGCTGCTCCAGAACCGCTGTGAACGATCTGAACATTCTCGACTCTGCTTTGGTTCTGTCAATTACTTAAATAGTTGGTAGAATCACTGGTACCTATGTTTTCAATATATCTATTCATGGCAAAAAAAAACTACATTCTGTTACGTTAACATAAGAGATTCTGATGAAATTGCTGGCATATATCAAATTACTGTATGTGGTATAATATAATTGCTCGATATATCGCAAATTGTGGGGTGTTGCAGGACGCGGGAAACTGCTGTATGGGTAGCGGTAGTGCTGGCGTAAGAGACGAGTCGATGCATTATTTTGCACCGTCAGTTTGACCGAATGGGAGTGATATGCGCTAGACATTGTAAAAATTGCGCCAAAACAAAAATTTTGATGTAAAAAAATTAGCCGCACCCGAAATAGAACAACGCAGAAGCAGGCAAAAACAACAATTTTTCGGGTTGGTGGTATTTCCCTAGATTTCGTGTGAAATCCATATATCCCTAGATGTTCGCTGATTTCCATAGAAAAGGGAAATTTCCCTAGCAGCGGTAACCCTGCACTTGGCGAATCCGCTGCCAGAGCAACATACTCGTATTCGGCCCGACCGATTGTCTGCTGAAATGTCGGCTAAATGACTGCAAACAGCAGATTTGCTAATGTCACTCTGCTGCCACATTGACGGTCATGATACTTGGATGACATACCGATCGAGCTCTACCGGTTCTTGGCTCTTCCCGGCAGGCATCGGTAGGATTGTGATTGCAGGATTGCAAAATCCTGATTGCATTCCTTTTTGGTGGATTGCACCTGGATTTGAAATCCATTCCAAAAAACAGGATTTGATTGCGGATTGGATTGCATCATACTTCCAATTTTTGCAATCCAATCCGGATTGTGTTTGATTAGTGCTTTGAAATGGTTTGTTGCGATTGAAAATTATGAGATCGGCTTCATCGGCTTAATGTACTTTGCTATCAAGGGCTTTACATCGAAACTTGAAATAATTTAAGCGCTTTTAAAGGGACCCTCCCACCTTCAAAAAAGTTTATGAATTGGCATGAAAATGATGTCGCTCGGTTCAGAAAGAGCGAAAACGAATATTTACCAAATTTCATCGAAAAATATTCACCGGTTTTCAAGATATTAGACTTTTACTTTTGTTTACTTTTTTGGGATCTCCGCTATTTCTAGCGACTTTATTTTAGAAGTGCGGCGTTTGCGGCAGATGTTGCGCGCAAATAGCTTATACCTCCACGTGCTACAAAACGTTTTAGTCAAACATTTAAAAATCGTTAAGATATCTGCGCTGACGTCACACATTCAGAGGGGTATTCCTAAGCATTAGCCCCTCTGAATCAAAATGCTGCAATTTTGAAATTCAATATTTCTGAGTTAAGGCATTTCTCGATGTTGTGAGTGTCGAAACCGGTAATTGTGAGCCAGGGACCCCATTTTGGCTATCTCAACTCAAATCTAATGTTAAGGTGGGAGGGTCCCTTTAACCCTCGCATGTGTGCGGCGTTTTCCAGCTTCTAATGTGTAGGGGGGGGGGGGGGTCGGTTGGACCCCCCCCCTTGCCGTTTGGCCCCTGATCGAGCTAGAGCTTCGCGGAAAAAAACGAGCGTGTTGCCCGTGACGAGAGGAAGCCGATGATACCCAATATTAAGGTCCTAGGTCATTGGTTGACCTTCCAGGTCAGGTCAATGACCCAAAGTCGGGAAAATCGGGACCTATTAGAAAGTCGTAAAGTGTGGCTGCTAAGGGGTTTTTCGGGGTGCTGATCACGAAAATCGTGTTAGTTTTGATCACAGATGATGTCTTTAAGCATTTAGACCAGGTCGGGTCAGGTCAGGTCAGGTCAATCAGTAGGCGTCGTGACAGGTATTCGTAGTACGTGTCAACCGCCTCTGACAGCTTCGTAACATGTTACGAAGGCATCAAAACTACTTCGTAAATGTTCAAATGGTTGCTAAATTCGAATTCAGCTCCAAAAACTAGCATAGAAACATGTAAAACTCGAAAAAGTGAACCGAGGTCACCCGAGGTCACCAAAGGTCAATGACCTGACCTAACCTTCAGGTGACCTTGACACCCACCCTAATGCATGGGAGCAACATCAAATCACATGTTTGAACGTATGAAACCACGAAAAGCTTGCAAACGCGCGGCTAATGCGAGCCGACGTACGCCGAATCGCGATTCCGGCCAAACATGGTCTCGGAAAAGAGGTCACAGGTCGAAGGTCATTTGGGTCAGGGTCATGAAATTTTCAGAGTAGGTGTCAAATTGATCAATGCGAGGGTACTGAAAGTTTCGTCGCGATCGGGCGCTTTTTACGCGAGTTATTCGCGAAAAACCATGGGGGGGTCCATCCGCCCCCCCCCGCCTACACATGCGAGGGTTAATTTAACCCGCGCCCTGCTGGGGGGGGGGGTGTTTGAACACCCCCCTTGTGGTTTTTCGCGAATATCTCAAAAACGGCGGCGCGGAGCGCCGCCGTTTTTGGTACACCTTATCATACATCAATTCTACACATGTTGTAAAAATTTCAGACCAAGGTCATTCAAGGTCAGGTCACCAGGTCACTTGAAGTGACCTCACCTCATAAAAACTTTCAATGTCTGTCATAGCTACACCGAGTGACCGATCGCTTTGAAACTTTCAGCGATTGCTGAGAGCAATAGCATGTACAAAATGTATATCTCAGAATTTTGATATCGATGACCTAAGGTCAGGTCAATTTTGCGACCTCCCCATTATAACCCTCGCCCTGGCAGGGCATTTTTCATAACACGGCTTGGCAGGGGGGGGGGGTCGATGCGACCCCCCCCCCTCGCGATTGGCTCCTATGGCACCTAGAAACACCAAATTTGGTAGGTAGGTGGGCCCCCTGGAGTTCTCGCCCCTGTGCAAATTTGGTTGCTCTAGGTCAATATTTAGGGGGGTTTTGGGGGGTATAAATGTAAAAATTTCGCTAAAAACAGGTCAAAGGTTTTTCGCTTATAACTTTTGATCTAATTAAGATAGAGAAAAAAGAAAAGCACCAGTGAACTCAGCACGTCAAGGCGCGTCGAATGATATACTTTTTTGCTTTCTTAAGTGTACTTAAAGTTTTTCTTAAATTTTAAGTAAACTTTAATTAATCAATTAAGTTCAAGTTAACCAAATTGCATCATATCGCATATCATTCGATTTGGCTGATCACCAGGAACACAATGATACCATTTTTTAAGCTCTAGCGTCATTATGTGCCAAGTTATTGGCAAAAACGTCATTTGACCTCAGTTGACCTCATTTGACCTGACCCATGGATAAGTACACCAAACAAAGAAGCACCAAGTGACCTGCTGTTAAGTACTGTGGTTTCAAAGCACCAAAGTGAAAGAACGAAGCGGATATCTCCAGTATTTTCCGAATTTAGTATTTTCCCATAGACTTAACATTACGACGTAATGACCTCTAACTGACCTCAGGTCAGTGACCTAAAAAAAAAACGAACTATATGTTATACAACTCGGTGAACTTAGCACATCCTGAAAGTTTGAAGGAAATCAGTCCAAAACTGTGAGTTGGAGAGGTGCAAAAAGAAAATTGAAATTTGACCATGACCTTGTACCGGTTTTTCTGACCTGGTGACCTGACCCAAGGTCACCTGGACCTGAAATTTTCAGGTCATATGTAAAAAGGTTGCCCCATAGGCTGTGCCAAATTTGGCGGCGCTGCGCGCCGCCGTTTTTACGCTATCATCGAAAAACCTTAGGGGGGGGGGTCGCATCGACCCCCCCCCTGCCAGGGCGAGGGATAAGTCAATGGGAGAAAATTGAAATGCGCCTCTTTTGGATGAAAGACATTATAAACACTCCCAAACACCGAATTACAAGTGGTTTAGACACACTGAACTTGAAAATGGTGTCCGTGACCCTTGTTTATGCCCTGAGGTCATCTTAGGTCACGAATGGTATCTAACAGTTTTTCGCAAATAACTTTTGATAGAGGCATGCTAGAGCGATGAAAACGCCTTAGATGTGTTCACCTCGACGATACGGATCGACTGATATGCAACATGACCCTTTCCGGTCAGGTCATGACCTTGACCTGAGGTCAAATTTTCAAGTTGACCTTTCAAGGTCAAGTCATAGTTCATTCGATGCGTCTTGACGAGAGGAACACGATGCCGGTAAAAGTAAGCTCGTACAAGGCTTGGGTCAAAAGTTATTGCAGAAAAACTGTTTTCGAAAAAATCGGTTATTTTTGCAGTTTTTGCCCCCTGCAGGCAAAACCGTTGACGTTAGGTCAAATCTGAGAGAATTACTCAGAAAGGGCGTTAATAGGGCTATCGAATGCGCTTTTCCGTGGCGCTCTAGCTCTATTGGTTCCCGAGTTATGCGTTGGCTTCTTGGAAATTTTCGACATTCGACCTGGAAATCGGCGAAATTTTGCCTTCAATGACCTCTGGTGACCTGACCTTTGACCTGACCAAAAAACTGACCGAAGTGATTTCGTCATTATTTTTGACGCTCTTTCGAACGCCGCCTTCCGCGTATCGCTACGTGGCCCAGGAGCCAACTTACAAGGGGGGGGTGTTCAAACACCCCCCCCCCCCCAGCAGGGCGTGGAAATCCAGGACCCCCAGCAGGGCGCGGGTTAAACGCTCAAAATGATATACGCTGATGAACTACATAGGAAGGGCAAAATTACGTATTTGAGGGCGAGTTTTGAAAATATAAAACACTGGTTGGGTAGAGGTTTAAATATGGGGGTGTTTGAGGCAAAAAATATTTCCCATAAAATACCTGTGCCTTAGATAGAAATTACTCGCAAGACTAGGTACAAGAAATGGGTCATTTGGTGATGGAGGCACGGCTCTATGCCCCCCCCCTCCCCCAGATCCACTAGTGCACATAATAATACAACAGGATTGCAAAAAAGGATTGCGGATTTGATCACAATCCAAGTGAAAAAAGGGGATTGCGGGTAGGAATGCAATCCACTTCGGCACTAGGAATGTGGATTGGGAATGCAATCCTTTCAAAAAGGATTTTACCGATGCCTGCTTCCCGGTATGCGTTCGCTCACCGTGCTCGTGTGTGTCATGGCCCAGTGGAAGCCAGTTCACGCTGTCGGCATACTGATCGGATGGATAGGATGCATGCCGCTTGGAAAATGCGATGTCATCCACGACCAAGAGGGTATCATGTTTCCGCTCATCCAGTCTGCACGCGTCTGCCACGCACGAATCACGGCGTCTCAGTCTTAGACTCCAGACGTACCGCTATTCTGCAGCTCATACTGTAACCCAATCAGGCTAGCCATGACTTGACGGAAACGGGATGTTCAGTACACGGAGTGCAACGGACGGCGACATCATCCGCACAGCGAGCTGATTTGGACGGTTGATAACTATCAAAACCTCTCTGATTCAGCACAGCGATGGCCAACAACTCGGAGACAGTAAACAAGGTGAACGGCTGCATTTCCATGTCGCAAAATATCCACACAGTAAATCCTGATAAACAATTTAAATCAACGAGTGCAAAAGCAACGAGTAACGACCCAAATCAACAAGAACAATACATTTGAACTGGCTCGTTTTGAGATACGTATAATAAATCATTTTCGATGACTAGACACATCTCATAAAATATTGTCGAAAAAGGAAACGCGGCATCCACCATCACACTCAGATCACACGCCGTCGTGTTCTAAATGCCCCGTAGAAACAGAGATACGAAAACACACGACTCGAAATGGCACCGGTGCACCCACACACCCCACACTCCCGTCGCAGGTTCCGTACAATACGTGCGGTGATGGACGCCTTTTGGATGGCACGCCGACTACGCAGTAGCCATAGGTGAAGAAAGGACCACCACGGGTGCCGTGAAGGCCCGTGCCTGAGCCTGAGGGGAGCCGGTCGGGTCGGCCCACGACCGGCAGAGGGGCGCCCTGGGGAGCCTGAGGGGCGCCAGAGAGGGCCGGCCACAGCTGCGCCGTTCAGACCGATACCTGCCAACACAAAGGTCACTGTCAAGGCACAGTGAAAACACTGGGTGACAATTACTTAGGACGGACACAAGCAGAATATGGACGTTGCGATCAATCAGCTCCTGAATACCCTAAACTATGATAAAGGATGGGAACAGTCAGCAGCCGTTTCGTGATATAAGATCAAGTGATCAGCAAAAAGCCCATTCTGGAACCGTGAAACGTTATCTCACATATTATTAGCAGATTGACATTGTTACCTGAAAGTTTTGATATAAAATAAGAACGAATACAGAATCAAAGTCAACATCCTAATCGTCGGAGCCCTTCCCTTGTCACATCATTGGCAGACCATTCCCCTCAGGACGACAAATCAAACTCACGGCGGCTCTGAGCGCCTGGTCGAGGTCGTTCATCAGGTCCTGTGCGTCCTCCAGGCCGACGCTGACCCGGATCAGAGAGTCCGTGATGCCCAGACGCTCGCGGTCGGCCGCGTCCACTGAGGCGTGGGTCATCACGCAGGGCAGCTCCGCCAGCGACTCATACCCGCCCAGGCTCTCCGCCAGCGTGATGATCTTGATGTTCTTGAAGAAGGCCCGGCTCTCGGTCAGGCCGCCCTTGATGTAGAAGCTGAACATGCCCGAGCAGCCCATGGTCTGGCGGCGCGCCAGCTCGTGCTGCGGGTGCGACGGCAGGCCCGGGTGCAGCACCTTCTCGACGGCAGGGTGGGACTCGAGGAACTTGGCCACGGCCACGGATGAGGCGCCGTGCTGGCGCATACGCAGCGCGAGCGTCTTCAGCGAGCGGTTCACCAGGAAACAGTCGAACGGAGACGGCACCGGGCCGATCGCTGCAAAAGTAAGCGGGGATCGAACGGTCAGCGAATGGTTAGATCAGATTCAGAAAGTAATCCGCTGAGCTTTTATGGTGTCGAATTGGGTCAAAGTTCGAAGAATAATCACAACAAGCAAGTACAGGGACTCTAAGATCGATATCAATTATCAAGCATTGGCGATGTGCAAGCACTGTGAATCCAAAACGTAATTAAATCCCTCTAGATTTGATTATTTTGATCAACAAAAACAATTGTTTATATTATAACAAGTTGCACACATTCACACATCAATAAAGCAATACAAAAAGTGAAAAAAACAGATGCACCACAACCCCACCCAACATCAAGAATCTGGCCTGTCAACATGTCTACCTCACAATCCAACCCCACCCCACACCACACCCGCAGCGCGCGGCCCGCTCACCGTTCTGCAGGAAGCGCAGCTGTTCGTGCACGTCCTCCCGGTTGGTGGCCACCAGTCCCATCACCACGTCTGTGTGGCCGTTCATGTACTTGGTGGCCGAGTGCATCACAATGTCGGCGCCCAGCGTCAGCGGTTGCTGCCGGCGGTGGGCAGATAGGGTGAGACGGGGAACGGGGGGGGGGGGCGCAGCGGTGAGGTCGAAGGGAGGTCAGAAGAGTGTGAGTTACTGCAGAGTGCAGATGCTAGAAGTGAATGTCCTGAAGCGTTGATATGACAACCATTTACATTGGAAGTGTTAGACTGTTGATGATAGGATAAGCCCACAATGCGTTGCTATTGACTCAACAACAATGACTCAGCAACAACGCAAACACGTGATAAAAACTACACCCACTCAGCCCAACTACATTTGCCTAACCAAGTCGAACTCGAAGTCACGTACCATCAAAATGCACATCAGTCAACACTGCAATATTTATATAACAAGACCTCGACGTCCTCTTCTAGAGTCATACAACCTCGATTTTTTATTCTTGATTCTTTACAGCCTTCACCCGCCTACCTACGTGTTTTCTGCCGCTGCGCAGACTCTGGTCGTCGCTCACCTGGCAGTAGGAGGACATGAACGTGTTGTCGACCACCAGTCGCACGTTGGGGTGCTTCTTCACCACAGCGGCCATGGCTGCGATGTCCACCAGCTTCATGGTCGGGTTGGTCGGTGACTCGACCCACACCAGCTGGGTAAGCGGAGAGCAGGGATGGCCGTCAGCAGCGGCAACGGGTGGTGGGACAAAGCGGATGTCGTTTAAAAATTAAGTATAAGTTGAGATCACTTGTTTGATCGATCGGTGCCACATATGTTACACTATTTACTGGTCTATGTGAAGCGGTAACAAATGTAATGAATATCAAATACTCTGCTTGGGAGTTAAGATTATAACACATTCCAAGAGAATAACTATCCGAACAGTCCCAAGTGCCACAGGCCGTTTGAAGTTACCTGAATCCTCCCTCTCTATCGCCCGACTTCTCCCCACTCTCTCTCTCTCACCCTTGTCTTGTCGGTGATGGCGTCGGCCACCTTCTGCGGGTCGGAGGCGTCCACAAAGGTCGCCTGCACGCCCATCCGGCACGCCACCTTGCTCAGGTAGCGGTTCGTGCCGCCATACAGATCGTCCATTGAGACGATGTGGTCTCCGCTGCTCAGCATGTGGACGATGGTCGTGGTAGCGGCCAGACCGGACGCGAACGCCATGCCTGGGGAGAAATTGAAGTCATAGGGATTTTCATGAATATGTGAATGTAAAATTGTTGAGCTGTCCGCATGCATCGGCAAATGGAATGAAAAGACGAAGAAGGTCACCTTCGTGGAATGATTAAATCTCAACACTCCAAAGCTCGATTATATAGAAACACGGCGAGGAGTTGAACGACACTTACCGTATTTGGCCTTTTCCAGGGAGGCGAAGCACTTTTCCATGGCATCACGGGTCGGGTTGCCGCTGCGAGAGTACTCGAAACCCTGCCGGGACCAAAGCTCAGTTCCAAACACGTCCCGCATTAATTTGTGAAACCCCTTAATCAATGTGTACACGAGCCTAGGCTATAAAGAATAAACAGTCCGCTGTCAAGACGGAGTGGATATAAACCAGATTGTCAAGCACCTTTTCCGCTGAGATCTCGATGGAAAATGGAGAAGAAAGGAAAGTTAGCAGAAGGGCACACTGCAACTGCTGTTGGAAGTGGATGGTCACAACTTGGTTGGAACGCAATAGTTGGCCTCAAAAGCAATTTGTCTGTCTCAAAAGAATGTTACGTCATCAGTGATGGATACCGTAATAGCAGGAAGGTCACGCCACCGACGAAAGTAGCCTGTTCAGTGTTCATATCAAGTCTGTTTATGTCTGTGCGTTTGTAAATAATCCACAGAGGACGAGCAGAGATACGAACGATTAAAGTACGCACTGATTTGTGAATGACACATGCGTTAGACATTCTAAAATGACAGCATTGATATACCGCTTCGTCCTTACTGTCTTCGAACAACAAACAAACGTACACACAACGTCACTGTCAAATATGAAGTTCTGTTCTAATGTAAACTGGACACACGTAACACTAATAATAATATTAATAATTATTAACCCTTAAAAGTAGCGTTCGCCGGTCCCAACTATCTTTACAGCCCCCCCCCTCTCATCAACCTTAGTTTCATAAAGACACCATCCCAGTCCTAGCCTACCCAAAATACCCAAGGTGCTCTACCCCTCCCCCATTCGATACCCCTGCCTCTTCATTTGTAACCCCCTCCCCCTCTTACCCGGTGCTCGGCGGGCGCGTCCTGTTTGAACGTGGTGGCCATGGAGATGGGCGGCACCACGGCCATCGAAGTCCACTGCTCCGGCTCCTGGCCCATGTGACAGGCGCGCGTGGCGAACGTCGTGTCCAGCGGCAGGAAACCCTCCATGGTGGCTGCGTGTGAGTGGGGTGTGTGTGACCTGGGGGAGAGAGGGGGAGGGGGGGTCAACGGAGAGCGGCGGGGTGACACGACTGGTCAACGTTCAACTTACACCGACAGAAGGTCAGGGTCAGAGAAAACAAATCTGCAAATTATTCAGAGGAGTAGGTGTTTATAATGGATCACAGCGCACAATCACCAACAGACCGCAGCCACAAGACTCAAGAGGCATGTAGTCGGTTTTACAACACGAGCCTGTCGGGATCGGTCACGGGGTCACCTGCCACGCCCCCTCGGGTGTCACACACCCCGCCCTCCCGGTGTCAGACCCCGCCCCCTCGGGTGTCACAGCTGTTCGTCCCTGTCGTGACCCGCTACCGGTAGTTTTCCACCCGAACAGGCCACAGCGGTGGTCGACCCGCCCCGCCGGCCACCGCGAGGTCCACATGCGCCCACTGTCTAAACACTGGCGCGCACACACGTGTTTCTGCGGGTCTGCTCCGTCCCAGAATGGAGCAGACTGTTCACCGGCACCCTTCATCATACCGCCAGTAGACGCAGCGGCGGGGCTCGGATGGTATATGGCATTACTAGAGGCGGATCCAGCTCAGAGTTTTTTTTTTTTTTTTGGGGGGGGGGGGGCAAACCATAAAATTTATCGATTCTTTCCATGCATCGTCCATAGGCGTAATGTTAAAATTATGCCGTTTGGGGGGGGGGGGCAAATGCCCATTTTGCCCCCCCCCCCCTGGATCCGCCACTGGGCATTACAGCTGCACAGAGACAGATGTCTTTATAAGCCATGTTCGTAGCAAGCGCATGCTGCCGAATGAAGACAGATTTGTTCTTTGTCAGAGCTGAAACCTTTAAGTGAACGCTTATGTTTAGCACGGTGATGTTTAGTAGGTAAGATAAATAAGCAGTGATCGATTTCGAGACAAAAATACATGCTAACGAATAGCATGTATATTTGTTGAAATTCGTTTTTGCTCGTCCACAAACAGAAAGCTGTCAAAAAAGCGCGCATGTCATCTGTCTGAAAGTGACCGCCCGGACCGAGACACGCCCCCTCGCCATGACATGTTGATCCGCATCACACACAGACCACCGTGGTGGGACACTCCTCCCGGACGGGAGCACCGCGAGAGCCCTGGCACATGTTACACGCCTACAACAAAACAGCACCTGCCCCTGGCACTGAGAGGGGACACACAGGACACACGACATTCGAACCGTGCTGACGTGATGTGTAAATGTTTATGTCGAGAAGTGTCGAGTGATGGGATGGCGATATGTTGACTGGATTGCTTAATTTTAAATGGAAATATCCCGCCAATGATACTGAACAGACACCTCATTGTGTGGTGCGCACAAAGTGTGCAATGATTGTGTCACCGGCAGGCGACAGCAGCGGCGAGGCGGGCAGTAAAATGGCAAACGGCGCTGAAATAGGTACGGCAGCTTCTGTCCACGGTTCGATAGATCTTTTGACAGCCGATAACTAACTTTGCTCGATTCTGTCACTGTCAGAACTGCTCACAAAACAGAATAACTCGACAGGTCATAAAGTGCAGCTGCAGTGCAGCCTCGCACGTGCGCAAACGAGGGCTTCAAAAGTGCGCCCCTGTAGAAGATAGCCCACAGGTCATCCCGGCGCGAGAACAGGCGACGACCAGACGCGCTGTGTCTGGTACTCTGATGGTGACCAGACAAAACCCGGGGTCATCAACACCAGCGTGCAGTCGGAGCTGGGCTATCCTCCGCGTTCAATGGAAACCTTGCGAAAGAAATGAAACCCGAGATGGTTCGCCTAAACACTGAAATGTCGTAACGTTTGGGAATGGGGCGTATCTCACTAAAGTCGAGGCGCCGGACGAGCAGATGTCCAGTGAGCCCCGCCAGCCGCCGGGGGGGGGGGGGGGGGCGGACGCCGCGTGGTGACCCTCCCCCACCCCCTCCCCCCGACTCCGACCCAGAGACGGGTCACAGCTAGTGGTGTCAATTTCAGAAAACGTGTGTCCAATGTCCGTCCAATGTCCAATACTTACGTCGACTGTCCGTCCAAAAATGTCCAAACCAGCCATTTGTCCAAAGATGTCCGACACCTACGCAATAGTTTACACTCAACACTGTTATTTAATTTGCTTTTAATGTACCATTACCAGCTCAAAAGTGTTAATCATATCGAAAGCTGAGTTTTCTAATAGCCAATCAATGTTAAACACGATTACTTTATAAAAATGTTGAGGTGTAGCAAGCGATTGTCCAAAGTTGTCCAAAGCCTGCTGTCATTGTCCAACCGAATTCCGAATTGGACATTGGACAAAATCGGAATTCCGAAAATTCAAGTTCCGATTGACACCACTAGTCACAGCCAGCTGGTCAAACACGCGGGGCGAGAGACGCGGTGGCGTGACCAACCCCTCCCCCTCACACCGGCCTGGGATCACCTATATTTTCAGCTGGGAACGCGCCTGTGTGCCGCGACCGGTAGAAGGTAGATCAAGTGATTGAGCCTAGCCTGTGAACAAGTGTGAGGACTCGAGCGATATTGAGATTAAAGGCCGTGATTTGAAGTCGTCTTTGACCGACCTGAAAACGACCTGAATTTCTGCGCCGAGTGTGTGATAGAGTGCAGCAACTAACAAGGCACAAAAAATTGCACATGCACCCCCGACAAAAAGGATACCCAAAAAAGATGCCCCTGATTCTGAATCCGACAGGAAATCCGTGCAAATAAGTGAAAATTTCTACAATCGAGCACATTTTAGTTGAGACTGAGCAAACAATTAGCCTTGCAACTAGAATCCCGTAGTTTCAGACGAAAGCAGTCCCAGCCCTCTACAAACATCATTCGGCAGCTGAGTCTGCCAGAATGCCGTGTCCCGTCCGCAGATGCTAATGTGAGAGGGACGAGAGAAGGGGGTGGATTGCTGCGTGACCTGTACACTGTACAGCTGTGTCGACGGAAACAGGACGACACCTTGTATCTCTAACCTGCGAGTAGGTCAATGGCGCTACAATGAGGTGACGCGATACGGACCTGTTGTAAAACGACCGCGCCGCGAGAAAAAAAAAAGCAGCTGACGAGCGATACGCTGCGCTGCTGCAGCGAATAGAAAATGGAGCAGAAAGAACGGTGGCTAGGCTAGGCAAATGTCCTACTGCAATTAGGAAGAACAAATGCTGCGTTACAAGAGCACAACCCATATGGTATGCAGTTGAGTAAAGCATTGAATATCGGTAACCAAAAAGCAAGGGTCAATTTGAAGCGTTAAAACGTCGTGCGCGAAATACAAACAATCCATCCGATAAAATCCAAGGGAAGAACTCGCTGAGCACAAACCGACCTGGAATGAGGTGCCTCTCGCGTTCTCGTCCCACGCGGCGCCGCTGTCGGTACGACTGAGAACGACCGGCTGGTCGGCTGCCAACTATATAGACCGGCCACGCCGACGGGGGCACGGCCGCCAGCGTGTGACGTCATGTGACGTCACCCTCGTACAACCCCGTCGGAGCGGGCGTAGACGTAAAGGGCGCCGACTGCCGTCTGCCCTGCGGGCTGGCGAGCTTCACAAGTTAGTCCCCAATGCAATTCGCCCACAGCACAAATCCAGGGGACATACCACAGAAGTGCCCCAGGAGGCCGCCGCGCTGGTCCGTCGGACAGCGATGTAGTGCCCGGCGCTACCTGGCGCCTCTACAGGTGCAAAAGGTTTATACGGCCGTCGGCAGGCGAGTTCTGCAACACTGCAGCTCGGGTCAATAACCCGGCCCCGGGAGAGGGCACAGCGTCACCAAATCAGCGCAAACCGGGCGAGTACAGGGTGTTCGCGAAAATATGTCATGATTTCGTATGAGCATTATCGCCAGCTCAAATAAGCTATGATCAGATGTTTTACTAAAATGTGTTGCCTTGACCTTTAAGTGTTGTTATTGACAAGTCCCAGTGCCTCATGTGTAGCCGGGCGCACCCCACACAGTTGACATGAGGCATCTCCGCTTTCCGTTCTAAAGAGACCGTACACATTAAGGCCCTGTAAATCCAAGGACTAAATGCCCCTCTATACTATTGTAACATTTTTTTTTTAGTTCAGGGTCTCACATTTCTCTGTGAGTTGTGGCATGTTGTTTATCATGCGAATAAATAACACGTGGACAACGCCTGAATTCATGACAATGACCTCATCACTACTGGACCGTAAACGATACCGGGCGGTCAGGCTAGAGCTGGAAGCCCGGAGGATGGTGAGGTGAGACTAGTCGGAAGAATAGACCGAAGCCCCGTCGAAGTATTTCCGGGTAGCTTTGATACAAAGGGGTAGAATGAAGAAGGGATGTAGTGTAGGTGATCACCTTGTGCCGCTGTCCAGTGATGAATATTAGGAAGTTTGATCAACGGCCTCCCAGTCAAAAGTCTTCAGTTCAAGTTAGAATGGGTAGATCGATGGGGATCACATCTAGGAAAATTGGTAGATTAGACGAGCCTCTGAGCGCAGAATAGAGAAAGACCACGGGCCCTCGACCCCAAATCAGCTCTTAGCATTGAGCATCGTTTACCGGTTCAGTCTGCCGTCCATATAGACCCGTATCGACTTCCGTCTGAACTCTGAAGCAGTCTGTGAACACCATCGGCCTGTATCGTCTGACTGTCGCCTGCTCGATCACACCGAAACACGAGCCGGCCTGAGGTCGGGACAGGGTATCAGGAGGTGTCACCCGACCCGCGCCCGCCACCACACAGTACCACTCATGGGAGGGCAGAGATGCGCGGAGCTGCCCCACGCTCGGATGAAATCCAACCGGCTTCAGGAGGGGCGAGCGACGCCTACGCCAAGCGATTTCATGGGAGGGTCCACAAAAAAAGCACGGACTGGCCATGATTGGATGGAATGCGACCTCCCAACCTGAAAACATGCAAAAGTTAATTATCAAATTATTCGGAAAGCATTCAATCGCCACATTTACAGGTTCACAAACAAAAACTTAATGAGGAGATTTGGCTCCGTCAAGCGGAGCGGTTTTTGGTAAGGAAAGTTTACGCCGGCTAGAATGATTCCATGACGGTTTTTCGTCCAGCAGATTTTCGTCGGACAATTTTTCGTCCGCAGATTTTCGTCCGACTTTTTTTCGTCTCGCATTTTTTCGTCTGTACAAATTTTCGTCCGTGCATTTTTTCGTCGGTACATTTTTTCGTTTGTACATTTTTTCGTCCGGACATTTTTTCGTTCGTATATTTTTTCGTCTGTGCAACTTTTCGTCCGCGGACATTTTTTCGTCTACAATTTTAACGTAACGTAACCTAACCTAACCTAACCTAACCTAACCTAACCTAATCTAATCTAACCTAACCTTACCTAACCTTACCTACTGATGTTTGCCTACCGGGGGATAAGGAAAAAGTTACTTGCATGAATAGATTGCAAGCAATGGTAAGTCAAATATTTTTAGGTTAAGTGGTTATGCACCAGGCTTCAGGCCTTCGGCCTGAAGCCAGATACACAACCACTTAACCTAAAAATATTTGACTTACCATTGCCTGTAATCTCTCCTAAGGCATTGCCTTCGGCACTGCACTGCTTCGCCCCGAGTATTATTATGACGTCATTTGCCTCACAGTTGAATAGCATTGTAGTATGTTTTCATTCAACCTTGGGTGCACAGACGTAAAATTTATTGAACGAAAAAATGTCCGGACGAAAATATGTACAGACGAAAAAATATACGAACGAAGAAATGTCCGGACGAAAAAATGTACAGACGAAAAAATGTACAGACGAAAAAATGCACAGACGAAAAAATGTACAGACGAAAAAATGCGAGACGAAAAAAAGTCGGACGAATATCTGCGGACGAAAAACTGTCCGACGAAAAAATGTCAGACGAAATTTTGTCCGGACACGGGCTAGAATGGTGGCCAGGAAAAGCTTCAACTGCCTTCAACATTCAAAAATAGTGGGAATTCTACAAAAGCACACTCCAAACTCCACGCCCAGGCACCAATGGTTACGTACAGGGAGATAAAGACACAGCATAAAGCCCTTCCATTTCGGGGAACATTACGAGATGGCCTGGTCTGCCATCCTGGCTCTCGTCACGATGATACAGACATAACGCAGCCAGACCCACAGCGTTCCAGGGAGGGGACACCACCCTCCCCCTCCCCGACCCATCCGCCCAGATCATCGCGGCGGGACACCGCTGAATCATGGTGAGCTCGCAGCGTCCAGCAGCGGAACTGGACTCCACCCCGCTAACCAGCGATGGAACGCGGTCGTAACTGCTCTGATCCGCCCGGTGACCGTGGTAATCAGCCTGGTTACCCCGCCAGTGACCTGACCCGGCACATCCGGCCGGGGTCGGGTGAGCGGGGATGGGTGACGGCGAGTCCCACAGGCCGGGCAGCAGTGGCGTCATCTATAGCGACTGACGGGAACTGAGAACTACTGGCAAACTAGCAGATGAACAAGCTTTTCCACCACAATCGGTCACTAACATACATACAATGGCAGGTCTAAATTCGCCAAGATCAGAATGTGTCCAACCAAGTGATGTCAATTACGGAAAATCGTGATACCAATACCAAACCAAACACCAAAAATATCCATGGAAAAATACCGAAACCGAACTGACTTGGGAATATGAGGAAAATACCAACTTTTTACCAAAATTCCAGCCTCTTTTACGTTAGTGAGGATTCATAATACCAACAAAATACCAAATGCACTCGCCTTGAAATACCAAATTGAAAAACCAAGTTGGTATTGGTTTGGTATTGGTATACCAAAAAATTGGTATCCGATTGACATCTCCAGTCCAACCCCACCATGCTTATTTGCTACCAACAAAAAAAAATCCAATTTTTATCCACAAAATGACCAAAAACTTGGTCACCACCACACCAAAAACCCAGACACAACCAATTAGATCTGCCCATGGTTGCTGTCTCATAACTAATCACAAAGCAAAAGCTATACAGAATATTAATTCAAATTCAACAGAAAATGCAAAACTAATGATGCAAAAGTCATTATCTGTGCCCCCTAGTTATCTGCCCATGGCTACAAAGTATGAATGAAAGCTGACATTGACATAAGGACTTATGAAGTGGTACCTATGGGCCATGGGGACAAGGTTGCCTAGATTGTGGCAGACAAGGGAGAGACATTGTTGCAATGGTAATGGTTTTGTCTTTTAATCCAGTACTGAGTGGGAGAAGCAGTACCTACCACTTATTTTATTGCTCAGAAATTGGGCAGATAATTAACCACTAAACATTTTACACTTTAGTAGTAGATGCTATTCTGATTACCACAAACAAGCGAAGCGTGCATTGACATCATCGATATTAACCTGTCAATGTGGAGTTGGAGCAGAGGGCAACTTTTCAATAACATCAGTCATGTTGAAATAATACAATATTGTGAGAGTAACAATAAATTACAAAGTATATGTATGACATGATTTGACATGACATTTAACGTTGAGTTCAAACTTCGAAACCTGAATATTGAGGCTCACTGCTGAGAGCTAACATCAATCCAACTTCTCACCTGTATAAACAGCTTGAGCTACAGGGTGTTTCACTAAAAGTGTCAAAAAGAAAATGCTTATTAAAGATATATAAAATACGCAAAGCACGTGGTTGTGCACGTGGCTTTGTTGCAAATTTTTGGACATTTATGCTTTGGCCACTTAAGATATATCTTACACTCATACGGAGCGAGGGCAGGAGGCCAAAGTTACTAGTCGTTTTTTCCTTATACAGAACAAGAACAGGTTATTTACACCGCAACGGGAGCGGTGGATTACACTTACATTTGGTGCTATCAGAAACATTGAAACCGTACGCCGACTTTTCAGGAAACGTTTCACTCTCTCACCTCGCTACGACCCAGATTATAAAAGTTTCAAAGGGCTTCTTGAGAGGTTTAAAAGGGTTCCTTTGATGCCGGCTCCAGTCCAAAAAAAAGGCGGGTCGCCCCCACCTCTCGGCGGAAATCGTTGAAAAGGTCAGGGTCTTTTTTTAGGGCCTTTTAAGATAACAAGAAGCTTATTTCAACATCAGAAATAGCCAAGCCCCCAATTTATCAGAAACAACCACTGTAACAGCTGTAGCCACCAAGAACTGGCTGGACCAGAAGTTCCGTTCCGTTCCCTGGCCGAATAATCAGCTGCCTCACCGCCCGCCCCTGGCCAGCGCGAGGCCCCGATCTGTCACGCTAGCCTTCTGGTTTTGGTCAGTAGCTCTCGCAGAGCTGAGGAAGACTTAAGTCGCATCACTTTTGGAGCTGAAGAGCACAATGCAAGGCTTTGCCGACAGTCTGGACGCTGAAGATGAAAACGGGCTGTGAGGCACCTCCGGACACGTGCCGAAACGGTGCATCAAAAGAAGCGGCGGATATGTGGAATAGGTTTGAGTGACGGTGATATCATTTTATATATTCAAATGTCCAACAATCGCGGATAGAATGATGTGCAAATGTCCATAGAAAACATTGTTATTATGTGCATAAGGACCTTTTACTTTTTGACACTTTTAGTGAAACACCCTGTAGGAATTAGGATGATGAGTTACGTGAAATTATTTTGATCAATTGCCCTTCTTTACCGATTATAAGCGGAATTGGAATGCACCGGTGATCAGCAAAAGCTCTGGCCTGGCTCTCGCATGTCTAGCAGACGGCCACATTTCATTTGATTACGCTTCAGTTGAAATATATTTACGTCTATGACGTCTGTTTTTAAGCCAATCGTCGATTAGAATAAGAAAATCTTATCCACATATGACAAAAATTTGCAAGTGAAAAGTTTGATCAAATACGACATTTTTCCAACAAACAACAAAAAATCAAATTTCAAATTGAAGGTACCGCATAATTGAGCTCATTTATCAGAAATTTCCCAGGAAATACCTCATCATTCAATGACGTCAACGATTCCTATGAAAGACATTGTTGAAAAAAACACACAAATAAGGTTTTGAATGAAACAAGTGCGCAGCAAATGGCTAATCTGGTAGCTGATATGGAGGATTTGGTATCAATTTTCCTTGAATTACCGTAATTTGGCAAAGTTTGAACAAAAAAGTAATCTTGCTCCGACTTTAGGGCCTTGGCTCCGACCACCATCGTCAGTCGTCACCGTCGGTGCCGGCCGGCGCTGGCTCAATTGAATTGTGCAATCTCGTACCACTCTGTTCAGTGGCGCGGGAACCGGGGGGGGGGGGGGGCTAGCGGGGGCTGAGCTGAGCCCCTCCAACTTTTCGGCTGGGGGGCTCGTAATGTATTTTGAGCCCCTTCAACTGGAGGAATCCCGAATCGAAATCGGAAATCTACGAACATAATTTCATAGATTCATACATAAGCGCGGATAGGTTGCCAAAACGGTAAATGTTTTCGTTTTTCTCGTTGAAACGGCCAATGTGTGAAAAATGGCATAAAATCGTTGAGAAAACTAGATCTGGGGGGTACCCGAGGTTGATCAATGATCTCTATTATGGTGCAGCCCCCCCCCCGTCTGGAAGAAGTTCCCGCGCCACTGGCTCTGTTTGTATACCTTCGTGCCGACGGCTAGAGAAAGAATGAGAACAGACAGCACACTAGTTTGTCGCCCTCACCTCGCCTCGCGCGCTGGCAGTTGACACATGGCGTCCGTTTGATCCGCCTCTCTCGTCTCCATGACGGGTCTTCCTCTAGGCTCTATAGATGGCTTTACCTACTCTCGTCCGTCTCCGGTCTCGATCGAGAGGTGACGGCTGACGCGACCCGAGCAACCGGAGCCAGTCCGTTTGGCCAGCCACTAAACTGTCGGTCGGCTACCGGCCTCATCGGTGCCCCAGCTAGTTAGACGAAAGGAAACTTGGTTAGACGCAGGACCAGCTGCCGTCTGCACCGTTAGCCGATAATAATAATTTATTTGAAAGCATTCCCATGTCTATGGACTATGGAGCGTTCTAACAACGTTTCGGAAAGCTGTAATATTTTACGCTTTGTGAATGTTTGGGCGAAACTGCAATTATTAGATACAATATTCAAATCCCGGCGTTATCGGTTAGGCCTAACGCTGACACGACGTGTTCTGTGTTTACTAACGGTCGATGACACAGCTGTTAGCTGTATGGCAGTAGGTATTTATTTACTATTTTGCCCAGATGTACGTACTTCGACAACTATTTTAGACGTTTTACCAACATTAGTTGGTTAAGTTTCAATTATTATTTTCAGCCGAGCCCAAGACAAAAAAGCTAAATTTTCATTGGAATAGACGCCGGCATACAACACCATACGGGCTCCAGAACATCTAATAAACTTGTTTTGCCACTAATCGAGATCCCGGCATGGCTTATGTTTCCCGCGACAAACAATGTTTGGGCTCGACCGGAGACTGACGGCTCAGTCTGGTCGCAGTGGGTTAATGTCCCTTCCATGTGGGGTAATGATGCGGGCGGCCGAGCCGAGCCATAGGGGCGGTTCGGGCTGTTGTTGCCGAGCCTGTGGCATCCATGCCACTGCGGTGTTCATTGTTGGTCGGGCGAGGGTGTGGTGCTGTCGGGGGTGCCGGGAGGACGCGAGGAGTACCGCAGGAGAACGGCAGAACCACGGGAGGACACCGAGAGAACCGAATAAGGGCGGTGAGAGGATCGAATAAGGGCGGTGAGAGGATAAAAAAGGACGGGGAGAGGATCGAATAAGGGCGGTGAGAGGATCGAAGAAGGACGGTGAGAGGTGGAGAAACTTTGCAACGAGCCGAGAGGCTAACACCTGAGGGCTAACGAGGCCAGGAAACTGACTCATCAGAAGGATCGTAAAAAGAGCTTGTAAGTAGGTACAGCTGGCAGTTGCAAGACCGCCCGGCCCGCGACACCTCTTGGGGCGCCGGGGTGAGACCGACAGGTGGCTGCCGACCCTGAGTTGTCACAGTTCGACAGCGCGGCAGCTCTGACTCAGCAGTGGCGTCAACAGTACTGCGGAGGTGACCGGGGTCGGGCCACGAACGCTCCACGCTCAGTTCTCGGTCAGAGTGAGCGCCTGTTGATCCACTAGTTTGTTCACAAGCCTGTCCACCGGCAGTTAATTTAGTGAGACCCAGCAGATCAGGGAGACCCATCGGTTTAGAGAGACCCAATCAGTTCAGCAAGACCCCTCCTCTGTGTTTCCGCCGTGAACTTACAGCGCTGCAAAATGCAAATGCCACCTGCGCCGTAACCACATTGGCAACGCCGCAGCTGTGACGGCCAGGCGCCAGTGACGGACGGGGCTCGACTGTAGCCGCGGGGTTCGACTGTAGCCGTGTGTGTCGTACATACAGGTGGTTCGGTCACAGCCGCAGCTGGGCCGGCCGACAGGCCTCGGTGCCGCCCGTCACCCGCCGCGGCCCGAAGGCGTCAGTGGTGCGCGGTTCCGGCTGCCCTGCCGTGACTCTGAGCTGACGGACCGGCACCTCCGGCCCGTGTACCGTGACCTGGCGTGACCTGGCTCGGGCGGGTGTGCTACCATTCAGCGTGGACTGGCTTGGAGCAGCATCAACACATTCAGGCGCACCACAGCTACTGTCTGCCGTGAATTTCGCTGATCAGCAAACATCTACCGCTCGCCGTTGACTAACATCCTGACTCAGCATGACCTGTCGCGAGGTCACCCCGACCCAGTGACATGCGCGGCCCTGGTGCGTGATGCGGCGCTGCGCCGGGGATGGCTGCAGTTCTCAGCACCAGCGGGGACGGCAGCGGCGGCGGCGGCGACGCGCTGACCCTCGACTTCATCAGCGGGCTGACCAACGAGGAGAAGCTGCTGATCATCGTGGGCAGCGCCGGCGCCGTGCTGCTGATCGTGCTGCTCGTGGTCTGTCTGGTCGGAGAGGTGTGCCCCCTGCACACCGTCCTCTACAAAGGTGCGGAACGCTACGTTAGTTAGTTAATTGGGCCTTTAGGGCGTGTTGACCACAATGGTCATTTTACCGTATTAGCCCATTGTGGACAACTTCAGCGAGAGACTCACCATGCGCTGCTTGATATATAGTTCTGTAGATATAAAGAAATCAGCGTTCACGTTTCAGGCGCAGAAAACTGTCTCAGCTCACAGGATCGTGCGCTCATTTCCTTTCATGCAGTGCCGTAGGCATGAAAGTCGGGTATTAGGTAAATGGGTGGCGTGGGTACCATGCCCCCCCCCCCCCCTTAGCGGCCCCATAGTGGTGTGAATGGAATGTCCCCATAAAACATGTGGCGCACGCCCCGCATGCTACAGCTGGTCTACAATGACATTAAGCTTTTTTCTTCTTGGAGCATATGCAGACCTTGAACTCTACGTGGCATCATTAATCTTAACAGCGTGCCATATACTGTCAAAACTCAAAACATAAACCGCCTTTTTCAAAACCATCGCATTTCTTTCTTAGGCATTATACTATGCATGCATATTAATAGGCAGTGAAGTCATAGCATGGCACCGTCTCAGAGGCGCTCTTACCACAAGGGAGCATACAAAGCTGGATTAAAATTCCAGAGACAGTAGGTAAAAAAGAATAAAAAATGATGTTCAACAAGAATAAAAAGTAGCAATGCAGCAACAAGTAACATATCCATCGTTCGCTCGGTCTTCGCTATGTTCTTAGAAATGGGTGAACCGTTAATCTCCGTTTTATTCACTGCCTTTTCATTCACTTGGCGCAAAAAAAATGCGGTTGCTACCTGATCATTCTTTGTTTTGTTTCACTGAGAAACAGATCAATGCTATTCAAGTGGATATTTTTTTTTTTGATTATTAAAAACACTTATTTCCAAATAATGAGTCATTCGCGATAAATGACCCTGCCTGCTTTTTATCATCGGCAGATGAGTGCTCGCTGGGGAGCCGGCCCGGCTCGCTGTCGTCGTCCCGGAACCTCGGAAACAGCCGAAGTCAGTCGAGGGATGACCTGGACACACCGAGGCCGCCCAAAAAACGACCCGGTAAACGCCGCCGTCTGTCACACCAGGCCTGCTGTCCTGACTAAGAGCAGCTCACCTTTAAACGTTATTTTGTAAACGATTTTAGCTGGGATGTTTTACATTTTAGATTCACGATTATATTCGTATTAATTACTTGTTTTTTCTTAAGTGGTTTTTTTTTTTGTATATGTGATAAGCAATTAAAAAGCGTAATAACACACGCCCGGTTAGTCGGGCCTGTGTCTAATGTTTCAACGGAGCTCGCGCTGAAAGCGCGCTAACCAAGCTCTCCTGCGTAAATTCGCTACTGACGTATGTAAGTAACCGATAACGCTGGCCCCATTATTTGCGGTCATGTTGCTTTCTTCACCCAGCAGTATTGACACGATACCCCAGCCTCATATCTATAGTTGGCGCATGGCATATCAGCGGGGCCTAGCGTCCATGTATCCGCACACAATAGGCAAGAATGGGGCCCTGGCGTCTCAACAAAAATGTCAACGGACGAACCTGCCAATATGGCTGCTGTGTCTCCTGTCCGTACCATATAGCAAACTTGTCCTCTGCAGCTATACATATGTCGTTGTCTCCTGTCCGTATATAACCGCTCGTTGTCTGCAGCAATAAGACTGTTCTGCCTCCTGTCTGTATCGCGTATAACCGCTCGTTTTCTGCAACATATTTCTATTCTGTCTCCTGTCTATGTCCTGCATAGCCTCCCGTTCTCCCCTGCAGAGAGGACGGGTCTTTTGGACGGTCTCAGCCTGCAGTCGCGCGGCCGGGACTCGACCTACTCGTCCATGTCGGACAGCGGACGACACTCTCCGACCCCGACACTCGCCTCGTTCAGGGTGAGTGCAGCACGAGTGACACGCTGACAATGGCACTGACATGACACGAGAGTCGGCACGGTAAAATTTGACACTGGCGTGAGTCGGGTGACACTGGAGCGAGGAGTGTCACGTGCTGACATGCTGAGTGACAACTCGCGGTCCATTTACGTCTCGCTAGAAGACAGGCAACCTCACAAGGGTCGCAATATTATAAACAATTATGATCGCCACTTATTGCTTTACCATGACAGAAAAACGTAACACGGCATGCCACCGATCACACCATGATAACAGATGACTGGTAGGTATGAGGCAATCGTGCAGATATCGTGACGCCGTTTATACTGCGATGCACGTTATACAGGCCACACGATTTGCACATAGGCGGCGGAACAGGGAGGGTACCGGGGCACCGTGCCCCCTTTGATTTTTGCATTTTAACATTAACCCTATGGGCGTTGCATGGGAAGAATGGGACCAAAAGTCGGCAGTGCCCCCCCCCCCTTAATTGAAGGTGTTCCGCCGCTACTGGATTTGCAGACGTGAAACACGAGTGCTGGTCGTGTTTGCGGTATAAAACAGAGTGGTTATCTGTGACAGAACAATATAGAATGTGTGATGAAATATTAGGTCAGGTATTATATTTCGTTCATAAAGGAACGGAACAAATAATATATGACGTATCGTAGACTATATATTTCGTGTTATATAGGAATGGCATCGTGTTAGTGATTAAAGTGATTGAGCCCGTTAAAAAATCATCAACATTTTGTGAAACATCAGACACTCGCTTAACTTTGCGACATGTATATAATGCCATTAGGTAATTGTTTACGCCTATAGGCTGATGCCAAAGGCACCGCCTGGGCTATTTCCGTACCCACGACAGCCGGGGGGGGGGGGGGTCGGATCCGACCCCCCCCCCTGTTATCTCGAGAACCAATGGTCGTATCGAGCCCCGCGAGGCGGCGTTCGAAAGGTCTCTACGAGACCTTCCCAAAGCACTCTTAACCCGCGCCCCACTGGGGGGGGGGGGCTATTCATAGCCCCCCCCCTCCCGTTTTTCTAAGATAACTTCCAAACCGCTTGACGTATCGACGCTAAACTTTCAGTACCTTCGGCTGCATCAATTTGACACCTTTTGTCAAAATTTGAACTTCGTACCTCTACCTACCATAGGTCGGCCGGAAATGACGTCAGAGTGACGTAATGTTCGGCCGATTTCGACGCAAAACATTGAACCACGGCAATCGCTTCCAAGGGCTCAGTTTTTAAGCTAGATCCAATTTCTTTGCATGAGAGGACTCAGAATAGACTGCGCTGTCAAACTGCTATCTCGGATTTTCGAAATTTTGAAAATTTCGAAAATTGTATAATTATATAATAAAATTCAAAATTTATATTTTTACATTTTTTCAATTTTTTTGACTTTTCGAAAAAACCGGAATATATGTGATAGAACGCATTATTATGACTAACTCTAGCAAGTTTTAGCTAAATATCTTCAAAAATGGCCAAGTTATACGCATTATTGCAAAAAATTCAGAATTACCTATTAATTTTCTAAATCAATTTTTCAGCACGAATTTGACATTGCACGCCAATATAAATAGCACCATCGTGTTCCTGAGCTCAAACTGCATCCAGTATACACATTTTTGTTGAAAAATTTAAAATTCAAAATTTGACCTTTTTTGACCTGAAAGTGACTTGACCTAAGCTAAATTTGCCTCAAAATGACCTCGAATGACACAGACGACATCAAATTCGAAATTTGTCGTCTAAATGGACCATAAAACATGTGTCACCGTGACCGACGGATGATATTATTTTCGTGACCTGTGATGACCTGAACTTGACCTGAAAATCAAAGTACAAGTTTGCTACCCTTAGAGTAGGTATCTAGAGCATCTGTTCACGAGTGTGTGAACCAAAAATGAGCCTGATCTGACTTGTAAGACGGCGGCCAGAGCCCAAAACGTGAACAAGCCAAAATGCTAATAATTTTTACTTTGACCTGACCTGTGACGTCATCGGTGACCTCGAGGTCAATGAAATTAGGTTTCGCTCGACAGTTTTTCCGGGGCTATCAGACGCCGTTTGAATTTTGACGATCGGCCCAGTAGTTTCGGAGTTAGGAGGGGGCTATGAATAGCCCCCCCCCCCCGTAGGGCGTGTTATACGCAGACCCCAGTGGGGCGCGGGCTAAGATTTTAAGATTGAGGTCAAGTTTCGGGTCAAGGTCAGGTCAAGGGTCAAATTCAGGGGTTTTGCATGATTAGGCTTACGGACAGCGGAATCGATAGCTGCTACTCGAAACTCACCAAAAATGACCTCAAAGACCTAGTGAAGGTACCATGTGCGTATAGGGGTCATACTAAGTACGGGTCAAGGTCAGGTCAGGTCACGAAAGGTCACGGTTTTCACTTTCTGCTACATGGGCGTGCGACACATGTGTTATGGCTTATTTTTCACGCCGAATCCGATGGTAATGGTTGTATTATGTACCTATGTGACCCCAAGTCACTGTGCTGGTGATAAGTGTGCATTGAAAGCATAAAAAATCGTTTATACCATACATAACTAAACAAGGGCTAAGAAAAAAGGACAATTTTTCAACTTTTATTTTTGACATAAAAATGCACTTTTCTAGACGAGCTTTGTCCCAGGAATCTAGTGGTGCCATTTGTTTTCACATGCGATGTTCAGAAGTGCCTCTAATTCACGAAAATGCTTATGACGTCACCATGCCCTATGTATGTTGGCGCTATTTTTTACATTTTGGGGATCAAAAATCGAGATAGAAAGTTGAAATTTGGGACGTCTAATGTTCTAATAGAGCTCTATAACATATATTCCGGTTATTGGAAATTCTCAAAATTTTGGATTTTAATAGCTGTTTTCCAAAATATATAGTTTTTTGAAACTTTAGGGGTTATAAATGCATTTTATGGAAAAATCCGAGATAGCCATTTTGAAGAACTTGTTGAGCTGCTTCTATTCATGTCCTTAATTTGCCATTTGCTTCAACCTTGATTTTTGGCGATTTTTTTAAACATTTACCACTTTTTAAGTGAAAACGCCATGTAGTTACATCACTAAAATCCATATATCTAAAAAAAATGCGGAAAATTTTCTTAACCCGCGCCCCACTGGGGTCTGTGTATAACACGCCCTACTGGGGGGGGGGGCTATTCATAGCCCCCTCCTAACTCCGAAACTACTGGGCCGATCGTCAAAATTCAAACGGCGTCTGATAGCCCCGGAAAAACTGTCGAGCGAAACCTAATTTCATTGACCTCGAGGTCACCGATGACGTCACAGGTCAGGTCAAAGTAAAAATTATTAGCATTTCGGCTTGTTCACGTTTTGGGCTCTGGCCGCCGTCTTACAAGTCAGATCAGGCTCATTTTTGGTTCACACACTCGTGAACAGATGCTCTAGATACTCTAAGGGTAGCAAACTTGTACTTTGATTTTCAGGTCAAGTTCAGGTCATCACAGGTCACGAAAATATCATATCATGCGTCGGTCACGTGACACATGTTTTATGGTCCATTTAGGCCAAAGATTTCGAATTTGATGTCGTCTGTGTCATTCGAGGTCATTTTGAGTCGAATTTAGCTTAGGTCAGGTCACTTTCAGGTCAAAAAAGGTCAAATTTTGAAGTTAAAATTTTTCAACAAAAAAGGTGTCTATTGGATGCAGTTTAAGCTCAGGAACACGATGGTGCCATTTATATTGGTGTACGATGTCAAATACGTACTGAAAAATTGATTTGAAAAATTAATAATTGTGAATTTTTTGCAATAATGCGTATAACTTGGCCATTTTTGAAGATATTTAGCTAAAACTTGCTAGAGTTAGTCATAATTATGCGTTCTGTTACATATATTCGGGTTTTTTCAAACAGTCAAAAACTTTTTGAAAACAATATAAAAATATAAATTTTGAATATTATTAAATACAATTTTCGAAATTTTTAAAATTTTGAAAATCCGAGATAGCAGTTTGATAGCGCGGTCAATTCTGAGTCCTTTCATGCAAAGAAATTGGATCTAGCTTAAAAACTGAGCTCTTGGGAGCGATTGCCGTGGTTCAATGTTTTGCGTCGAAATCGGACGAACATGACGTCACTCTGACGTCATTTCCGGCCGACCTATGGTAGCTACGAAGTTCAAATTTTGACACAAGGTGTCAAATTGATGCAGCCGAAGGTACTGAAAGTTTGGCGTCGATCCGTCAAGCGGTTTGGAAGTTATTGCAGAAAAACGGGAGGGGGGCTATAAATAGCCCCCCCCCCAGTGGGGCGCGGGTTAAAAATTACACAGGAGACGTCAAATTGATGGGGGAGAAGGTATGCCAAGTTTCCAGTTGATAGCGTAAGCGGTTCATGAGTTATTCAAGAAAAACGGAGGGGGGTCGGATCCGACCCCCAGGCGGTCGCGGGTTAACATGCTGAGTGCTGACTGTTGAAGGTCTGAAATATACTGCATGTAATATAGATATCGGTTAATAGTTTGCTGACTCTCTATTTACGGTAAATAAATGACGCAAACATCTTAAGGCAAATGATTAACGCTAACACCTGACACACCCTTTTCATGTGTAAACGCCGTGCCGCAGAGCGCGCCGCTGAGCGGTTCATCCGAGTCCGTACTGGAGCGGTCCGGGGCCGGCCAGCTGAACTTCTCCCTCCAGTATCAGACCAACGGAGACAGGCAGATCGGCAAGCTGCACATCAACGTGCAGGTAAGCTGCCCGCGTCTCACCGGCTCACAGACCAGTCACTTGATTCTCTGAGGAGTGGGGCGATGAAGTTGATGTGCTGTGTGCAGTGTGCACCGGCGCATCAAGCGTCAGTGGCATTTGCCTCATTGCCCTCACTTCACATATTAAAAACGAACGTCGTGGAGCGTTTACAGTTAATTGTTTGCATTCCTTACACGTTGATAGAAATCGTTTCCGGTTTCCGGCACCTCTCCCTCCCGCTCAAATCATCACGTGACCTACATCCCCGATTCCCCCCCCCCCGCCGCTGTGATTGGCCAGGAGGCCCGTGACCTGCCGTCGCGCGACTATGTGGGCACGTGCGACCCGTTCGTGCGCGTCACCCTGCTGCGGGAGAAGCGGTCGCTGCGCGGCTCCCGCAGCTCGGTCGTCTGCGAGTTCCTCACGCGCACCCTGCGCCACACCAGGAGTCCCAGCTTCAACCAGACGTTCAGCGCCGAGATCGTCAAACCGGACCTCAAGGTGCGGACGGACGGCAGGTGACCGTGCTTGTGCCGTGAACTGATGTCAATGGAATGTAGCGATAGCGTGAGGGTGGTGATGCGTAGGATAGCTGTAGTTTGCACTGAATTTTGTTTCTTACAGTGACAATGGCCCCGAATGAATGAGCGGAGTAAATGCGTATTACAAAGGAATTACATACAGTGCTGAGTGAATAGGAAAATCCGTTGGTGACGCGTGCTTACTTGCTCATATATTCGAAGCCAACGAAACAGCTTCGTGACTTTAGTAACATCTGTAGTAAAAAATGTTTTTGCCTGTCGGTAAGCACACATGCTATCGCTGTACGCCACAGCTAGACGGTAGAGCGTGCACTACCGTCTCTCTTTACTCTTTAGTGCCCTGCGTGCACCCAAACATTGCACTCTGGCATCACCGCCCCCTTGTGTGCCCTGTGACGCGCTCTCAGGACTGCGCCCTGAAGCTGACCGTGTTCGATGAGGACCGCTACGGCAGCGCCACGGAGATGGGCTCAGTCACCCAGCCACTCAGGGTCCTGAAGAAACTCATCACCTCAGAAGCCATCCAGACCGTCTCCGAAGACATACGACCCAGCTCGAAGGTGGGAAACTCGCACGGATGCAATAAAAGCTCGGTGTCGAGGTCAATGAGACCCGATAATTAATGAAGGAGGGTAAGGACAAAGTGACAAAAAATTGATAATGCAAGTTTTAATCATAAAATAAGTAGATGGCTTCAGACTTATTTTATGCATAGGTACAGGATACAGAGCCTCGATAAACGTTAACCCGCCTTGTTCACTGTTCAGTGCCCGTGATATCACCGTTATTTCAGACATACGGCGAGCTGCTGTTTGGTCTCAGCTACCTGCCCACGGCACAGAGGCTGACCCTGACTATATCACGGGGATCGGCCCTCATGACCTCCAGGGTCACTGAGGACATTCAGCAATTCTGTGAGTGGTTGTTATCGAGCTAAAAGTTTCACTTATTCAAAAACATGAATTCACGTTTAATGAAGCGATGAACTCGACACATTAATGCTTTCGTTTTTTCACAAATTGATTCAGTATAATGAAATAACTATTATTCGTCATGCTTATTGCCTATTACGACGCCGTTCATTTTCAACGTCCTCAGGTCCGTACGTGAGGGCGTTCCTGCTGAGCGGGTCGGGGCGGCTGATCAAAAAGAAGAAGACGGCGGCCAAGCCTGCGGGCGCGTCTCCGATTTTTGACGAGACGGTGGTGTTTGACCTGCCGTTCGCGCAGCTGGAGGTGGTCACCGTGCTGGTGTGCGTGTTCCACCGGCCGCCGGAGGTGGCGCACAACTCCAACGGCGCCTCAGGTGCGGCGGGCAGCGGGGGGACAATGGGACGGGACAATGTGCAAAATCAATGTCGATACATGAATGAAGAGTAATGAAGTAGTATTTCGTTACAACGCATGATTATCGACATGATTATCGACATTAACACCAGTATAACGCCTTTTGGGGCGACTAACGGAGCGAGCGAGAGGGTGAGCCTTGCACGTGCGAAATTTCGAAGGGGTACCTCCAGCTGACTTGTGCACGGCACCCTACTAACTGGTCTCTAGCGATGTGCCAAATTTGAGCACAATCGGCCCAGCCGTTCTCGAGATCTGGAAGCGGCACCCTGCACGTGCGCACGTGCAAAATGGGTCCCAACTGACTTTTGCACGGCACCCTACTAACCGGTCCCTAACCATGTGCCAAATTTGAGCGCCATCGGTCCAGCCGTTCTCGAGATCTGGAATCGACCCCTGCACGTGCGCACGTGCAGCAGCACCCCAACTGTGGCACATGGATATGCATTGCCTAGTGGGTGCCTACCTACATGGCAACTTTCAGCGCAATCGGCCAAGTAGTTACCGAGATATTGCAACAATTACAAAAGTGACACCTCTTCGTTTTGCACGTGGCACGTGCATAAGGGGTCACCCACATGCATCGGGAATAGTCCAGTACTTGGTAGAAGGAATGAAGCTACCCTACAAAATTACCGCGTGTAAATCGGTCAAGTGGTTGCTGAGATATAAGCGTCGCAAAAGCGTGACCACGGCCGGCCGGCCGGCCGGCCGGCCGGCCGGCCGGCCGGCCGGCCGCTCATACTCAGAAATTTCCGTTAATCTAAGGAAAGACTACGCTCGCTTCGCTCGCTCCGTAATGATCGACATGATTACAGATAAATATTAAAAGCAAATACCATTTCGATTTTTTTTACGCTAGCAAAGTAATTTCAAGTGCATTTTATACTTCAAAATCAAGGCAATGACTCACTAGAGCATGATCTCGTTACTGTTTCGCCATTACCGCCAGGATACTCACATAATTCCCAGCATGTCCGTCTCCCAGCCCTCACCCCCGCCACCTCCCCAGGAGACCCGGGTGACGATCCGCCGGAGGGCCGCCAGCCGCCGTCCCGCAGGGAGCTCTGCGTCGGAAAGGTGGCCGTGGGCCGGCACGTGCGCGGAGACGCGGGCCGTCACCCACTGGATATCGATGATGCAGAGTCCGAGACGGACCGTGTCCCAGTGGCATTGTCTGAGGTAGCGGCGCCGCCTCATCGGCGAGCGAGGGTGCGATGAAACGATGACAAATGTAACGAACGGTTCTCAACCCGGCCAACAAATATGGCATCGGGGAATACAAACCGTCTATTTCAACAGGCCGAGAAAATCAGTTTGCCTTGTGAGTTGTGACATGACGAGTTTTCATGTGTCGTGAATCTAACCGATATTTATGAACTTATTCTAGCCCTGCGAATGTCGCTATGACCTTATAGGATGAACGCCGGTAGACCCACAGCAGACCATTTGTCAATGGTGATCTATATTGTTCGCTGGATGTGTTCTTGGGAGGCAAATGGCACAATGTATGGTGCGTTGCCTGGAGATCGAAATCCGCCCACAACATTCATACTTTTGCCCCTTATTCTTTTGTGTTGGATCATGATGCATAGGTATTGGGGGGAGTGTCAGGCGACGTTTAAGTCTGAACATGGAACACGATGTGCTCCGACGGGCAAAATAAAATGTACATCAACTTGCTTATAGAAATCCAGAACGCTAGCATCCAGATAGTCGACAAATATTGGTAATAAATACATATATCTAACTGTCGAACATCAACCCCAAAATTATTAAAGTAATAGTTGAACATTTCAACAACCATCGGAAGAAAAATCACTACATCTTTAGAAATGTATTTATAATAATACAAAAGCAATATAAAACAACAGTCACTTAAAGATGCTCGTTGATAGACAATCAGGCAGACGACTAGGGGTAAATCGCGACGCTTACACCATCCATAAAAAGCGACATTGAAAATTGCTATAAAAGATGGTGTGCCCCATTGCAGAAAATGGGCACGCATTATGTCAGTACGTGCGAACGTCGTACTATAGTAAGCGAGTCGTCAGTAGGAAAGGGAGGGCTTATTAGCTACCGATATTGCGCTACCTGGAGCTTCAGAGAGCCGGTAAAATGGGTTGTTGCGTACATGGTGCATTGACATACAGTGAATAAATGTTGTTCGGTGTCCTGTTGCGAGAAAATCATTATCATGAAAGAAAATTGTGGAATAACTAATCGTGGAATGAAGCCAATGCCAATTCATTAAAATAGTAGATTCACAAGTAGTAAAGGAATGTAGAGATTCACCATGCTTCTGCATTTTTTTTTTTGTGGTAATACGTGCACTGCGCAAAGTGCATCCAGTTGAATCAGCTTTGCACCTGTATAGACCCTCTTTTTCGGTGGAAAGGTAGACAATCAGCCGCGTCGTCTCTCCTCACCCACGCCTCGCGGTGACTTCCAGGAATTACATCGAACGTCTTCAGGGTGCCGCGTCTTCAGCGGGCAGAAGGCGGCTCAGCAGCCTGTCCAGCTTCTTCTCCAGCTGCTCCAGCCTCTCCGACACATCATCCTGCGGCTGCCGCTTGCTGATCAGCAGCGTCTTGGCGTCCTCGATGATCTGCTTGTCGAGCGAGAAGCGGGCGTTGCACGTGTTCGGGTCCAGCTGCCAGTTGCGCTGGTTGGGCAGCACGGTGAGGTTCTTGTTGGGCAGCGTGTTGAAGAAGAGGAGGGTGCGACCTCCGAGCCAGGCCCGCAGCTGGGTGAGCGGACTGACGCTGCCCAGCCAGGAGCACGGGGCACAGTCGGGCACCCAGCGCAGCCACTTGAACGGCGGGTAGTTGGAGAGAAAGTTGAACGGGTCGCCGAGCAGCATGGACTCGATGTAGGAAATGAGCTCGACGCGACCCACGTAGCCGTAGATCTGCGCCTGGTCCTGGATCTCGCCCGTGTCCGCGACGGCCAGACCGTTGAGCAGGTTCATCAACACCACCGTGATGAGGAAGAGGAAGGCGACGAACACCAGCTGCGCGACGGGCGTGTGCTGCGCGATCGGCAGCGAGCCGTAATCCATCTCACCGATCGTCATCACCATCGTCTTGATGAGCGCCGACGACGGATTCGGAAAGGCCTCGTCGCCCTCGAAGAGCACGAACATGCTGAGCGAGAAGGCGACGATCAGCACAAAGTACCAGGCGAGGAAGCGGACGAAGCGGAACAACACCGTAGTGAACATGGTGACGTAGATGGAGAACAGCGGTAGCCGACCCATCAGCATGAAGAACTCTGTCCAGGACAGCAGGATGACGAGTGCAGAAAAGCGTCGTGTCTGCTCTTCGTCAACAGAAGAGAAGAGAAGCAGAGCAGAGAGCACCAGCATAGACGCCTCCACGTAGTTCTCAAAGCTGAATATGTACCGTCGTGGAGCCACGAAGAATTGAAACAGCTCTCGCAGTATCAGAAGAACAAGGATCAGCGCTGTTGCGATGAACACAAACTGGAACGCGGGATCGGACGAGCTTTCCTCTACCGTCTGACTGTTGGAGCTGTTTAAGGTTTCCGTGGCCTGGCGGCGCTGACGCGTGTTCCAGTCTCGGCTGACGTTCAAAAATACAAACGTCGTCATCAGAATGACAAACAGCGAATATAACGCCAGGTTAGCCCATACCGATCCGCGAACAACTTGCCACTTGAGGTCAAGGAAGCTCGAGATGACGGGATGCTTCAGCAGGTGGCGATGACGTTTCGACTGCGCCATGTACCAGAGCGATTCGGTCTCCGGAAGTGGGTCCACGAAACCTCGACGTCTTGGGGCCAAGAAGCTGTAGCATAGCTCAATCTGGAAGTGGGCATCCGTAACCGGCCTGTCGTTGCACGTGACACACTCATCCAGATACCTCTGCAGTGCATCGGCCGGTAACCCACGTACAGGCGTTTCGCCAAACCTGTTCTTCACACCGATGTTCGCTCCAAGCCTGAGAAGAGCCTCTATGGCAACCGCATCCCCTCTTGCCACCGCGTAGTGCAGTGGCGTCGAGCCAAGCTTATCTTGACCGTTGACGTCCAACTGAAGTCGTCCTGGCTGCTCAGCCTGCATCTTTGTCAGCAGCTCCAGGCACAAGCCACGATCTGCTTCACTCTCCGCAAGATCGGTCTCTTGCGGATCGTACTCGGCACGCGCTAGTTTGTGCAGCACCGTCTCACCACCGTGGTCAGGCACATCCACCGGGGGTGGCTCGTGGTGGATCAGCTTCTCGAGGACGCGGTGGAAGCCACGCGCCGCCGCGAAGTGCAGCGCCGTCCAGCCGTTGGTCGGGTTGGCCAGACTGACGTCGGCTCCGTGTCGCAACAGAAGTCCGACGTACTCGTGCAGGCCGTGGTCGCTGGCGTACTGCAGACACGTCGTGTTGCCGTGGAACGCGTCCACGACGCGTCGGTTCCGCGAGTTGTCGCGCAGAACGGCGCCGAAGCGGGTTAGGTCGCGCTGCTGGAGCGCCTCGAATAGCACGTTCTGCGCACTGCGGCCGGTGAGCGCGGTGACGGCGAGTTGGGGGTCCGGTTCCAGCGACACCCCTCGCTTCTGGAGCAGCTCTCCGGCCGAGCGGCCATCCACGGTACAGCTCGGGTCGGCGTTGTTACTGAGCAGCAGCCGAGCGACCGGGTCTGCGCCGGACACGGCGGCCAGGTAGAGAGCTGTGCAGCCGGCGCGATCGGCGGCGTCCACGTCCACAGTGGGCCGGGCCAGCAGGGCCTTGCCGAGCGCCACGCAGCGCTCCGCCTCCGTGTCATCGGCGGCCGGACGCTCGGCCAGCACGTGCAGCGGGGTGCGGCCCTTGCCGTTCTTGGTGGCCACGTCAGCGCCATGGTCCAGCAGTAGGACGGCAGACTGCGGGTCCCTCTTCTGTGGGGGCGGACACAATTAAACATAGTTAATTACTGATTCATTTCACGGTGAAGTGTGCTTGCCGTGGCTTCAATTTTGTGCAGCGATGACAATGCGTAGTTTTTAGGAACACAGTATTCAGTAACAAAAGAAACGGCAAGGAGATTGTTGTCACTATTAAAACTAAAAGTAAAATAAAAGGAATAAAAACCGGTGAAACGTCTAATGGGCGAAGAACGAGAAAGCGTAAAATCCATTTCTCACATGGTGACATCGTAGGATTCTAATTGTTTACGTCAAACATTTTTAAGTTTCAGCACGCCAGACACGAATAATTTCGCCGTTTCTCCCACCTGCACGGCCAGATGGAGCAGCGACGTCTTCAGCACGGGGTTCCAGACGTTGGGGTCGGCGCGGCAGCGCAGCAGCTCGGCCACTATATCGTGCCGGCCGCCCTCGATGGCCGCCTGAAGGCACGTGCAGTTGTCCGGGTAGTCGTAACTGAAACGGACCGATACGGGTGACGCGCGGGTCACACCGTGATGGGTGACAATGTTAGAGGCCTTAGGTGGTTCTGCATCACTTACACAAAACGTCAATACCTAATTTCCCAGGTATTAGTGTAAGATGCATAAGTAGCATCGCTCGGCAATGACGGATGCGACGCTACCATGGCTACTTATTGACACTAAATCTGCGGTCTGCACCTTCCCTAAAAAGGGAACTATGACAGTCGCCGTGTAAATATCACGTCGAAAACTGAGCTGATTTTACAGCCGGTATATAACCGGTGCTCGAGTGCTCAGCAGAGTTTACGTTCGTTCCCAGTTACGCAATAACCTCCTGTCAAGATTCGACAGTAAATACACCGGCCCTGCCAGAGTGCCAAACGGCCGGAGCGGAGGGTGAGGACAGGCGACCGCTAAAATTGATTGTCGGGTGATTGTGTACCTGCATAAATTCATTGATATAACCGTAATGTTAAAAATCGTGTTAAAGGAGGATATAATCCCCCCCCCCATGTTGAAATGAGACTCGAGTGCATCAGCAACTAAACTAATGGCTAGGTACAATGAGATATAACGTCTCCCTCCCCTAGACTGAATGCCGCGCTGATGACTCAGTGGCAGATCTCTCGTGAGCGCTAGCTGCGCCCTTCCGGCCGAATCACCAACCAGCAGTTCCCCATCACGGCTCGCGGCCCACGGCCCACCCACCATCGATCAGCAGCTCACGGCTCACCAATTCGCAGCCTGCACTCACAAGTGGTTGATGTCCACGTCGCGGCAGCTGGCCAGCTGGGAGACCAGCTGCAGCTGCCCGGCGCGGACGGCAGCCAGCAGCCGTGCCTGGTCCGAGGCGCCGCCATCGCCCGTGCAGAGGGGCGTGCTCTCCGGTGACACGTGCAGCGGTAACTCGGCAGACATCGCGTCCTGGGAACGACCCATCACTTCAATACGTCAGAACACGGCCAAAGTAGACGGTCGGTGCCATTGTTTTTCTTTTTCTTTTTCATGGCGGAACGGCAAGAAAAATACTTTCTCATGAAAAAATAATAATAAATTTAAAAAAATGACGGAATACGATATTGAGTGGACGGGATTGCAGTTTTATGAATAATCGTGACAACTGACAAATGACCATGTCGTTGTAAATTATTATAGGAAGGCACCGAATAATTCGAATGTTTCTCGAAATAAAGTTGCACGTCCCCCAACAAATGACAAATTAATCGGAACATGAATGTGAGCTCGCAAACAATCTATCTACCTAGGGGATAAGACATTAGACACGTAGGTAGGTGAATGTGTGACAAATATCTGCATTGTTAGCGTAACGGCTGCGGTACCACACAGCAAAGCCACCAAAGGCTGCTGGATCAACAATCGAC